TTCAAATGCTTCTAGTCTCTTCAGGTGGCCTTCTGTTAGAGACCAACTCTCTACTCCATAGAGCAGGATAGAAAAAATATAGCCTCTGACAAGCCTGATTTTCAGTCTTAGGCTTATGTCGTGAGTTAAGCTTCCTATGATCACCTAGCTGATCACTATGGGAGCAGGACATTAGATTTGTGAGATTCACCTTCCTATTTATAAGTTATTATAGTACAATAAGAAAAGATGTTTTTGCCCAAATTCATCTTCTGATCACCCTCTGATTGAAATTGAAAAAGGGACACTTAAAGATGCCTAAAGAGATAAAAGAAAAAAAGTTCTGCTTTAATAAGATCCATATTTGCCTGATAATATTAGCATAGTCATCAATAGGCACACATTATCTAGCTTTGCTTCAGTTTCCATTGGTTCTGCCATGCATGCAAGCCTTGCCATCTTCTTACAATAATTTCTTCTCAATTCTCTTTTCCCAGGGTAACTCAAGTACTGTTTATCATTACAACCCCTTGTTATCATCTCTTGCTTATCCAGAGGCAACCTCAACTCCCTGATATGCCTCCCTATCTCCAGATGCAAATGTGTGACGCTAATTATTTGTATTCTGTCTGGCAAGGTCAAACAGGCAGCATTTGATGGAATCCATATGGCCTTTGAATGAAACACTGATTCTGTGACTAGGCTTTAAAACCTTTTATATAAATACCATGAGTAGACAGAAAGAGCCATTTTTTTTCAAGTGTTGGAAATACTGCTTCTCTGTGGATAGTGTGACACGCTGAAGTTTTCTGGGAAAGGGGCTCATAAAAGAAAGAGATAGTGCTCTCATAAGAGGAGTAAACCACTTTGATGTCTTTCTCACCAAGTCAAAACTGTAAAAAAGAAGAAGTTGAATGTAAGGACCTTTTTTAAAAACCACATTGTCTGACATTCTGCATACTTGAGGCCTTCCACTGCAACAGATAAAAAACAGAACAGCCAAAACATCAAAGAATGATGCTTCCATTCCTCTGTACTATTTTTGTAACTTCAATTATAACTAACATCAGTTTTATTAGCAAATACAGTTGATAAATAACAGTTTGGGCAAGTTGGTTCTTTACATAAAAACGAAATTGAACAAATGTAAACTACGTGAATTACTAGAGGAAAAAGTGAGGCACTTAAAGGCAACTCTAGCTAAACTCCAACCTACACCAGAAAGCTATACCTTTGTACAATCTGTGTCAGGATCAGCACAACTGATGCTTATTCTTACAAACATTTCTTTATATTGTCTCTGAGTATAAATATGCTAATGCTTGCTCAATTCACATCTGTAATGCCATGTCCTCTTCTTTTCTATAATATAGCTCACTTTTTTCTTAATGGTTTGTATTGCATTGTTTCTTTTACTTTCTGCAATCACACGCGTGGGTCTCAAGGAGAGAGATGTTTTTAGCAAGTGTGTTCCACCTATTCAGAATGGACTGTTCAGACTGTCCCCTAAGATTGATCTTAAGAGATAGTACTGTAGCTAGTCAAAGTCACTTGGGAAGGCTATCTTTCCTGCACCATATATGGTTGGACAGGTGGAGAGATTATCCTTTTGATAATGGTAAACCAAACCTGCAATATCGTCCCCACTAAACTTATTTGGCACCAATCTGACTTTGATTGTTATGTCAGAGAACAGAGAACATAACAATTTGCTGCTGTTCTACATATATAGAAATTTTAGTATCCGTTTAATGCTGCCTGAGGTTCATTTTTGTTGAACAATGATCGTGAAGATTCAACAGTTCTATTTTTTTAGTGATAACTTACTATTTTTCTTAAACTCATCAGCTAAGAAAACATCAACAGTAGTATTCAAACTTGTTTTGAATAAATGAAATAGATATTCTTTCATCTGGCATAACATTGTAGAACTTTATCTTGGGTAAAGTTAGGAGGAAACATAGAATCTGTTCATAAATTCAGATTATAGTTGAAATAACTCTGAGCTGCTGTACAATAAAAAGCTTATTTTAGACCAGGATTATTTTGAGTGGATTTAGATGTAGATGCAGTTAGGCAATTTAGGGCACACAAATGTTCCCAAAGCTAAATAAACAGGAAGCAAATTCTTCTTGTAGACAAAACCTGGGAAAGCAGGAAAAGAAAGAATCCCAAGGCTTTGGGGAAAAAGTTGCTGAATAAATCAGAAACACATTGGGATTTACTGGTAAATCAATTAATTCAAGCTGAGCTAGACAAAAATAGATGATGATCACACATCATTTAAGAATTCATTTCTTTAGCGTGCTGAGCATGTAACCAAAACAGGCTGGAGCATGCCCTGGTTAATAGCTACCACCCACATTCTACTCTTGCATTAAAATTTGGGCCTGGTTTACTTCCATGAAAATCAAAAAAATGTTTGTATCCTTGTGATCTTTCAGTTTTCCCCAAACCTAGACAGTGTAGTGCACTCCACTGTTGGAAATAGTAAGATAATAGCATGATCACCATTTATTAAGCAAGTTTAAAGGCTGCTTAATACCGTTTTCTTCTTGCATTAACATGGAATTTCAGGGAGAACAGTTGGGACTGGGAAAGGTTACACACTCTTCTACTTGTGCTTCATCCTGTTGCTATTCCTTAATTCCTGAAAAATAAACATTACCCCACAAGGCCATTAGTGCAGTGTGCAGTTTGAATTATATTGGTACCAATATCTAAGCATAAGGAAGTTGCTTTTTTAAAGAAATAGACATCCAGTTGTAGAAATAGCTACAACTTAGGACATCTAGATCTATGCAAAATGAAAAGTTCTGCTTAAGTGTTACAGAAAGAGTTAAACTCACAGGCAAGTAGCCCCTTCCTAGCTACAGATAATTTTCAGGTTAATCTTCAAAACCATAAAGTTTCTCCCCTTAGCAGTAGACAGCCATTTATTTCCCAAGCAAATTCTACTGTTTTTAATAGCTGCTTCTAAGATACTGTCATGCCACAACTCTATCTCTTTGGGGCATCTAGAAAATGGTTGTGATATCATGATGTTGCTGACATCAACTTAATCATCCTCTATGGATATGGATAGTCCCTGGCATGCTGCCATCTGTTGTAATTTGCATAATCTCTAAATTTATGCAACAATTCAAACTCACAGCAAAAAGGTAGGAACTTTGGAGCATGTAGAAGCTGTCTGCAACTTCTAGGGATCATCCAGCTACTCCTCAAGGAACACCTTTTTGCCTTTAAATCCAAAATGCTGTAATTCCTATTGGTCTTTCCAGTGTTTCTCAGGCTTTCACATTCCTGCATGATGCATCCGCATAATAAGGATCAGCACAGTTGGAACAGATGTTTGAAGCATGTTATTATAGTTGATAGTAATAGGAATTCATGATCAATAACATGCTTTCCATTCATTCCACATTCCCATCTCTGTGCTTGGATTGAAAAGATAGTCTGTTCCATAATTTTCAGAGGCATAGGAATGAACATATTTCCCAGTAGTATTGATGATAATTAGAACTGTCAATACAATGTCATCTAATAGACTTTATATCCCCTCCGATGTCTGAGTTTAGTGGGAACAAAGTAAAGCTTTAAAGCTTTTTAATTATATCTTTTGAAGGAGATGTGAAAAACTTTAATACATTGAATTAAGAGGAATTTTCTTGAGTAGAAGGATTTGTACCCTCCATTACATTTGTACAGTTTTTAGCTGCCAGTAGAAGCTGTGGTTAAATGGGAACGGAATATAGTTTTCTTTGTAGAATCAACACAGAGCCTCACAACCCTATTGTATTTCTAGATTTGGATATGAAACTGTGTTGAGAAGGCAACTAAATATGCCCGAAGATCCACCTAAGTTTCCCAGAATCATGTTTTTCAGTCATGTTGCAAATTAAAGCACCCCATTAAAAAAACAAAAGCTAATCTCAGAGGCATAAGTTGTTGCCTGCATGGCAATAAATCTGGGATAACAGGAACTAACAAAAGTATCAGATGATGGTATCACAAGTTCTTTATTCTGTTCCCTTCAAAAGTAAGGATACCTGCAAAAGACTTTCCTAGAATGTTGCAAATTTTTTTTCCCCAAATCCTTTTTCTGTTGGTGTTCTTCCATCGGGAAAATGATACAGACTCAAAGCCTTACCTGAGAAGGCAATCTGCTCACTCTAGTTTCTTGATGCTCAATTTTTCACTTATAAAGTGGAAGTAGAACTTAAATATGCCACAAACATTTACTTATGGGCACTTTGCAAATATGAGTATACCTACCTAAACACACATGCTGTTTCAAAGACAGGAAAAAGGACTTCAGAGTATGCTATGGAACAATTCTTTATCTTCAAGTCCAAAGGTCTACATAGCCCAAATAAGTAGCATTGGTTGTCATCCATCTAGAGAACATGTGTGGGACTCGGAACATGAATCACCACATACAAAAAAGGGAAAAAGTAAAATATAGTGGTTTTCGTAGGTATACAACTCATTCAGCTGCTATGTCCAAATTGTAAAGTAAATTGACCTCAGATGACATAAGAAATTATGAAAAGTGGTCACAAGATGCTTCTTATCTCATTACATTGGGATGTTGTGGTTATGATTCAGTGCCAGCACTTTTCCAAAACTAAAGTTGTGCAAGCTTAAAGCTGCTGCTTGGATTTTGTGACTTCTTCCCACAACAATGAGCTCTAAGCCCTATTAAACCAATATTGTTAAGAGGATAAAAAGCAAGAAACGTCATCTATTTTCTTGAATCGGTACCAAGTGCAAAGATTTGCATTGTGGAGGTATTTGACACCAATAGTGATTTTTCAAACTAAAGGCAAGGTTAGCTTGAATTTTGTTTGCCGATTGCTTCTCTCCATTAAAGCGGATAGCCACTACCTTGGCTGCCATATACAACTCCAATTAATTAGTTATTAATTTAATATTCATTAAATTAATATGGCTCTAATATATTAATATTTATTAATCTACTCTTGGCCATGGCATCACTGGTTTTGGTTTTCTTTTTACAGAGTACTACATGAAACAGAACTGACAGCCACGATGCCTGCTTTCTTTCAGAAGATGCTAGTCTTCTTGGTCCTCTTTCTCACAAGTAAGCAAACACCTGGGCATATTATGGATGTACAAATGCTTCTATGTAAAGTACTCACAAAACTTCCACTTTGTACAGAAAGAGGCTGTGATTGGCTATCTTTCATGTAGGGAAAAAAGAAATTCTCCTGAATCACATTTTGTGACATTGTCAATATACAGTAGCTTTGACATCTTAATCTTTAAAAAATAGTATTTGCTTCTAAGCTGCAACATGCACTTTGCCTTGTGCACGCATGTACACACACACACACACACACACACACACACACACACACACACCACTTCTGTAACTCAAGCTTACAGAATTTATTATATTAAACAAAAGTCAGCCAATTCAGCACCCACTTAATATATAAGTCCCATGGATTTCCATGAAAATTACTTCAATGTTGATCACCATTTTTGGTTAGCCACCCAAAGAGTAGTAGTGTCAGATATAATCAATTAAAGTTGAAGTCCAAAGAGAGGAGCCCTGCTGTATATGTTGAAAAAATACCTTTTTCTCTGGATCCAAGTCAGTTGAAAATAATGTGCTTTGTTTCAGTAGGAACATGAATTCAAAAAGGAATTCTAACAATCCCCATTTTTACCTCTGACAATCTGATTCTCTTTTTCTAATTGCAGTGTCTGTTTTACTAAAGATGAGACCAGGATCATAAAAAAAAAACATTCTCAGCTGACTTCTACATCTCTAGCAGGTGTTTGATGAGTATAGGTAAAAGCAGATGCAGGTTACCTTACGAAAAATGCTCCTTTCTCAGAACAGAGAAAGTTCGTGTAGAAGAGAGAAAGTGTAGATTTCCAACCTCAAAGTGAGCGTAAAATAGAGATCAGAAAGAATATGAAATAAGAATGGAAATGGAAGTTATGTTATAAATAGATGTAAATATGTATATAAATATATAAATAGTATTAATAGAATTAGGTCCCTGAGGATAGAGGATGATGAGGTGATGGTGTCTTTTGACGTCGTCTCCCTCTTCACCTCTATCCCACAGAATTTAGCTGTCACAACAATTAAAGACTTTCTCCATCGTAAGGGACCAGGACAGCACCAGGACTCTCTCTGCCCTGATGACCTTGTGGATCTTTTGGGATTGTGCCTGAAAACTTACTTTACGTTTCAGGGCATCACATATGAGCAGATAAAGGGCACCCCCATGGGATCCCCAATTTCGAGCATTATAGCCGAGGCTGTCTTGCAGCAGTTGGAGCACGTAGCGATGGCCCAGTATCATCCAAAGTTCTGGGCCCGCTACATGGATGACACTTTTGTCGTCATTAAAAGGAGTCAGAAGACTGACTTTGTGGGCATATTTAATTCAGTGTGTGCGGACATACAGTTTACGGAAGAGGACCAGGGTAAGTTGGCATTTCTAGATGTCTTGATCCATCGCCAACCAGATGGAACCTTGAGGACCAAGGTCTACCATAAGCCCACACACACTGATAGGGTTTTACACTATTACAGCAATCACCCGGTGGCCCACAAAGTCAGCTGTATTAGAACGCTCTTCAAGAGAGTGGACTCCCACTGCAATACAGCCAAAGCCAGAGTGGAAGAAAGAAAACATCTCTTCCACATCTGCAGGCATAATGGGTACCCAACTAAGTTCATCAAACGCCATGGTGCAGTGTCCAGAGCCCCTAATAGTTTACAGACAGGGACCTTACCATCCCAGACGACACGTGTTACCCTCCCCTACATTAGTAACGTCTCAGAGGCCACAGCTAGGTTGTTGGCACCCTACAATGTGAGGGTGGCACACAAACCTAATTGGACGTTACGCTCATGCATCATGAGACCTAAGGATCCACTCCCCACTGCGGAAAAATCTGGGGTCATATATAAGATCAGTTGTCATGATTGTCCCAGTAACTATGTGGGTGAGACCTCAAAAAGGGTCAAAACAAGGATCCAGGAACACAAGCTGGCCATAAAAAGAGGGGAGCAGTATTCCCAAATTTTAACACATATGATGGAGTCTGGGCATAAGTTTGACTTCGACGGTGTAAGGGTGGTTGCCAGTGACATCACAAAAAGTGGCAGATTACTCAAGGAAGCCTAGCTCTCAGGTGAAGAGTCGATCAATCGGCATGTGGACCTGTGACCAGCGCACTTGGCGCTGAGGCCGTGGGAAGCGTGTACCTGACCATCATGGGGAAGACGATTTAATAACAGAAATTTTATCCCTCCACCGGAGAGGGCCAGCATCCGAGAAATTGGTGACCGACGGCCCAAGAGCCCCTCAGCTGCGAGGATAGGGACGCACCCGTCACGAATGAAGAAGCCCATCGACATCAAGGATTCAACCTTCAACAACCTAGACATCCCTCCGTACCGTGGGGGATGCTTGGAAGAGAAGACGGTGTGCACATCGATTGGAATACAACGTAGTTGCCACTTGAGGAATTGTACCAACCCCCCCACTCCTGCGGAGGCTTCCATGGCTGCCAGCTTGTGCACCTATCCATCAGAGATGCATCCATACCCACGGAAAGCGGTAAGAACGTTGAATGGCGGAGGGACGATAATGCATGAGTTGGGACCTCCGCTGAACCCGATGCATCTGAAGGGAGTCATACCCCCCAAGGGCACACAAGGAGAAAGTAACCGCAATCTTCCCACCTTAGGAATGACCACACGCTCTTGAAGAGAAGTGCAACGAATGGAGGAAAGTGAAAGCATGGCCACTGGATTGAGACCTGCATCGAGACCTACGAGGGGGAAGGGCGAGGGATATCGACCAGGTGGAGTATTGAAACAGCTACCCCTGAGAGCACCTGCTGTCTCGGTGATCGGACAACAGGAACTACGGATCAGTCCCCGCAACGAGTTAGGGGCCATTAAAAAGGGGAGGACGAACGCTGTGAGAAGTAGTGGTGGTGAGAACATCGAAAGGAATGTTAGATGGTGAGAGTGTGTGATATGATAATGATGATGACGGACGTCAAAGGGGTGGAGGGGGGAAGAGATCCGTCCGCATGGAACACCCCAAAGAAGAGGGAGGAGGAAACAACCTGATGATGATGAACGTGTGCTGGACTGGAGAAGGACTAAATGCCCTCCTGATTTACAGGCACAGAGAAATGGGGGAGTAAGTGTTAATGCACATGTGGATAAGGGCAGCAAGGATAAACTACCTAGTTTTATAGGGATTACGATGGGGACAATGATTGGCCGGCCAGGACCCATCACGAGGTCTAGGAGTCGAGCACAGATGCTAGCTTGTTTATAAATGGTTTCTCCCATTGACCTGTATATACCCTGAAGATGTTGGCAGGAGCCAGCAAAAGCTCGGTCTCTTTTTATTAAAACTTTTATTGTTTGATACTTTCCTGGTGATCACGTTTTTATTGTTTAATATGTAAATAGTATAAAATGCAATATGTAAGTAGTATAAAAGATCAATGGCTAGGAAGATATATGGTATATGGTGTATGGTATAATATGTATGGCAAAATAACAGCCAGAAAAGTCACACTGTGTTCAACCTGTTTTTAAATGTTTACTTAATAAAAACTTATTTTAAAAAAATGCTCCTGTGAAACTTCCACAAGCATTTTTGTTTCTTAAATGACAAATCTAGGATTCATTAGGTGCCGGGGGGGGGAGGGAAAAAGAGAGAGCAGGCCTCAGATTACTTTAAACTCCTAATATTTTTCCCATCTTCTTTTCCTTCTCTCAAAAGAAGGAAAGAAAGAGCAGTTGGGCACTGCCAGGACACAGAGACACTGCAGTTCTTGAGTTGGGATCATCTTAGGAGCTTGAAAGTTGTATGGGTTTCCTGCAGTGGTCTGTTAAATAAACGGAAAGATGGCAGCTAGAGAAGCTGTCTCAGAGACATCCTTAAGACTGGGGACTCATAAAATAAAGATGCAGAACCTGGGTCAACATGACAGCTTCCAATTTCCAAGAGCTTTGCCACTGTTGCTCTCTTAAATCCTATCCCTAAATCTTAGTGCTTCATTAAGTTCCATTGCTGACTTTCTCTACACCCTGTTTTATTTCTGCAATAATTATACCTTTTTGTCTTTTGAATTTATAAATAAAATAACAGTCAAGAACAGGGTGAGAATACTATGATTGAAGAGAATATTCTGCAGAGCAGTCCAAAGTCTATTTATATGTGGGAAAAATAAAAGCAAGCTAAGGGCATTTGTTTATTTTTATTTTTTAAAAGGAGGAGCTTCTTTGAGTTGTATTCAGAAATCCACTAACTGGAGGTGTATGAGTGAGTGAATGTGAATGGTTGAAGGGAATGGCAAACTCCGAAAGGAAGGAGATAAAGATTGGAGAGGGAAGATCATCTCAGGGGTTCTTGGACATGGCAACACATAAAGGTGGTGACAGGCATTGATTGTTATGGGAGCCATAGGGCAGGCCGTTGCATCAAAAGATGCCACCGATGCTTAGTACCATGTTCTGATGCCCTGAGCTCACTCTCAGCCTCTGGAAACCCTTTGAGGCCTTGTGATTTGGCTGTTGCTAGTTAATGCCAAGTCAGTTACTAGTAAGGTTCCCTCATCCAAGACTTTATTGAGGAGGAGCGAGCTGACCTGGCAGACATCACTGAGACCTGGCTGACTCCGGAAGAAGGTGGCTCCATTCTCAGAGATGTGCCTAGCTGGGTTAGGCTTTGCTACCAGCCAAAAGGGTAGGGCAGGGGAAGTAGGATGGCAGTAGTCATTCGAGAATCTCTTTTGACCTTCAGGGGCCTTTCTTCCCAAGTTTCTGGCTGGGAAACTTGGGAAGCTGGGTTTATGGGACCTGTTCCTGAAGCTGAGCTCATGGGATCCGTTAAGAGCTGCAGGGTTTGACATTAACTGGAGGGGGGGTTCCGTTGGTGGACGGAGCAATGACAGCTGCTGGAAGCAATGGCAAAAGCCTTCAGTGGCATGCTGGGGACTCAGCTGGGCAGCGGTAGCCCTCTGGAGGCCCAGGAGCCGGCTGCTGCCCAGCCAACATGCAAAATGATAGGGGACGGCCGGAACTTCCTGTTTTGCCAGTTCAGCTGTTGGTGGTCTGCCGAACAGCTGATTGGAGGAGAAAACGGCGGGGGCTTTTGAGTCTGTTCCTGGTCCTTGCTTTTCCTTGCTGCCAGGCTTGTAAACTGCATGACTGAGTCCCAGACAGGCTGCTTGCTAGAAGAAGAGGGACACTGCTGTGGGATGATTGCTCCTAATATCACTCTGGATGGTGGTTAGTTGGGCGGGGGCGGGTCCAGGCGGAACACAGTATCCATCTATTTAGGGCGCTGGGAGATGGTAGCTCCCATTGCTGACTTTATTTTGCGATTGCTGGTTAACACTTCATAAGCCAAAGTGTGTCGTTACTTTCCCAGCCTGAATAAACCAAGTTTTCCTTGGTCCCAAAGTGACTGTGTTTCTGTTGGACTCAGGTCTGGGTTTGGGACCTTTGACAGAAAGTCAGCGCTCCTCTTTTCTGTCCCTACCCATTTTCCTTGGTGGTTCCTGATTGTGGACTGTGCAGGTACAGGGGAGATGGCTGAGGGTACTGAGCCGACAGTGGATGTGGGAGAAGTGGTAGAGCTGGTTGTGGCAGATGTGGCAACACCAGAGGCTGTGGAAGACAGCACTCAGCCAGCGGTATGGTGTGTGAGACCAGACCAGACATGCCAGTGGTTGATGCACGGTTGGCCTCAGAGATGGTGCAGGAGATGGGTTCCTCAGGGGAGTGGGGGCAGAACTCGGCTGTGACCGGCCCTGCGGCCCACCAACTGTCCACGCCGGGCGTTCCCAGACCCAGTTCACTGAGTGGCGGGAGAGGCGGTTGACCGATAATGATGAAGGGGAGTAGAGTTACTCTACAGCTCTGGGAAGTTACACAATGGACATATTGCGAGAAAGATTCGGAGAGGCCAGATTCTGGGATGCCCCTGCATGGCCATATTGGGGGGTTGGAGCTGAGGCTGTGGGCTGGCAGTGAACAGGGTCTCAGCCAGCTTAGATGTCACAAATGTGGTTCTGGTTGGCTAGCCCAAAGCTCAAGTTGGATGCCGGTCCCAGTCATGCATGCGATGCCCTGCAGGTGAGAGCTTTAGAATAGAGCTCATCCCTGGCTGCCTCGGCCAAACAACCGCAGACATCGTGGGAAGGAAGTATGACATTGGGGCTTGGTGGGGCCCCGCCAAGGGACAGATTCCAGTGACCTGTCCATCAGCCCAGCGGGGCCCAGGTTCTAGAGGTCAGAACCTTCAGCAGGCCAATGGCACATTGCAGGATTCCAGGTGGCCCATGGGATTTTGGCCCCAGGGTGTGTCTTGGGGTCCTCTGCCCTTGCAGGCTACATTTGATGGGGATCCAGACCGCCTAGCACTGTTTCTCAGCCAGGCCATCAGCCACCTGGACTAATATGCCCAGTTCTACCCTTCACAGTGGACTATGGTGGTGGAAGTGACTGCAACGCTGCAGGGTGAAGCCATGGAATGGGTGGCAGACCTGAACAGTGAACACGCAAGGGAGTTGGCGGATGCAGGTCTCTTCCTGGAAGCTTTATGTGCTCAGTTTGAGGATTGGTCTCATGCCCAACGAGCAGAAGGAGATTTATTTGCAAATAAATCTTGAATAATAGTCTCCCTGCCTGAGCTGCTGGAGGCCAACTCAGAGTTAGTAGTGGAGTTTTCCAGGCTTATGGTCCTGAGGGACTTCAATCTGCCACCTGTGAGTTTGGCCTTGGAAGGCATCCAGGAGATCGTGGCTACCATAGCAGCCATGGGCCTAATCAAAATCATCTTGAGTCCAACTCAGGACAATAGTCACATGCCAGATATGATCTGCTTGTCAGAGTAATGGCAACATGACTAGTGGTGGACCTCTTGGTATTCCCCTTTTCATGGTCAGATCATGCCCTGTTGGCCTTCAGATTCTCTTATGCTGTCCCTTCCACAGGGAGGCCAGACCCATTCGAGCAATCTGTCCCTGGCAACTAATGGATCCAAAATGGCTTCCAGAGGGAACTGGAGAATATCCTGGGGCTTTGCTGCACATTCCTGCCAAATCTCTGGTAACATCCTGGATTCACAGGGCAGCCAAAGGTTTGGACAGGGTCATGTCTTTATGACCTCTCTTGACCCATCACTCACAACTCTTCCCATGGTTCACAGAGGAGCTTAAGGTTCAGAAAAGGGTTAAAATGCTGCTGGAGGAAAATGAAGGATGACTCTAACTAGATACACTTAGAGCCACTATTAAGGCCTACTTTGTGGTGGTAAACCTTATTATTTATCCACCCCATTGCATCCGCAGAGTGTCCTTCAGCAGCCCTGTTCAGGGTCATCCAGTCCCTCCAGGGACAGGAGAGCTCAGGTGATCATCTTTAGGAACCCATGTGTGGTGCAGATCCATGTGAGATACCTGGGGAAAGATCTTGTACATTTATCTGAGAACAGTTCAAATCCTGTTGGACTTGACGAAGTGGACAGGGTCCTTGATGCCTTCAGTGCAACCACTATCAATTAGATCTTGTTCTTCCTGGTTGGTGAAAGATTCCAGGATGGTGACAGCCAGTTGGGTTCAGGCAGTGATAAATTCTTCACTGCACATGACTCTACAACTCTCTAAAGTTACTCTGTAAACTTACAACTCTGTGAAGTTACTCATTGTGAGGACATCTGACCAGAAGTATGCATCTGAGCAAGTGTAGTCTTAAAAACAGCAGTAGTTTGAATACAGCAGTAATTCATCCTAGTAAGTGGTTATGTGGTTGCAATGTCTGGTTTAGTTCATTGCAACACTTGTTTTGCAGATGGAACTCTTTGTGGGGCTTTTTAAAAGTTTGGGTACTGTCCTATTTGTACGCAAATTGCTAGTTTACATGGACAGATTGCTTGTCTTTAATTTATGCTCTTCAGGTTGAAATTTGGTGACCGACTCAGCTGATATGTTCTATTGAGTTGCCCCTCTATCAGCCCCCTTTTCAACAAAGACCCTGCAGGAGAAGGACAGTATGGGCAACTGTTGGATCTGGCAGAGTAAGAGTGTGACCATAAACATGATGCTTTTGGTGTGCTCCTGCATAATAGTATCCATATGAAGTTCAGTAGGGATACTAACTAAGGTGACAAGTTCAGATGTTTGCGGTGATGATGACTGAACTGGGATTGTAATCTGCAAGGAAAAAGAAGTCTTGGATAAGGAAGGTCTGCATCAGGTGTTGCAAATCAGCAACATATAGTGCGTAGATTATCTAAAAAGAGAAGCTATCTTCTAGTTAGTGACTCAACTGTAAGAAGTGTATTTAAGAAAGGATGTGGAGGTTTTGAAAGAGGTAAGGTATTTGCCTGGTGCTACTGCCAGCGGAGAAAAGAGGCACATTGTTAAGATTTGTAGGAAACAATTCAGGAAAATGCTGTCTACTGTATCATTTCCCATGGATTTCCTGGCAATTTTCATTTTCATTTCACATCCTTAGCTTGTTTAGATTTCTTCAACACAAATCACAGCAGACACTTCAGTAACAAGGGTCAAAATTAATGGGTCAAAATATGCCATGTTCTAGGAAGAAAAAATATCCTTATTATACTGGAGTTTTCCAGTTCTGTACACAATGCCTGAATTATACTCACATCATGCAATTACTCATAATTTATTGTTCTGCTGGAGACCAATCTCAGGCTCTTCCTAGATGGAAAAGGCATTAGATGGAAAACAAGACCTTTTCATTCATGACTATGCATTCATTTTTAATCAAATGACTGGCTGGCTTCTAGCCCCTACCTCCAAATGAAAAATGACTTTGCTTTTCAAGCAGTTCAAATATTTAGATTATACAGAAACATGTTGCTTTGTTTTTATCCCTGTCCTTACATTCATCTCTGCACACTCTTCTGCTATCCCCTATGTTCTGTCTCTTGCTAATTTGATTTCCAAATTATCTCTTAAAGGTGTGAAAGAAATCAGCTCCCTGGAAATCACTCCCAGTGCCCACGAAGTTGTCCTCAATCTCTACACTGATTTTACTCTGAAATGTTCAGGCCACAATGAGGTTTTATGGAAAACAGACAACAAGCATACCAAACTAGACACTGTCCTGGAGAAAAGGGGCACCATTTTTTTTAACACCCTCACATTAAGGAACTTGACTGGTTTAAACACAGGTGAATATTCCTGTGCCGACAATCAAGTCCTGGATGAAAAGGCCATCTACATTTTTGTACCAGGTATTGGTGATTGCATAACTTTGATACTTCTAATCGTGTAACTTATGCTTCAGTTGTATGCATGCATTTGGTTCTGTCTGGCCTTGAGGATATTGTATACTTCTCCCGCTGTATTGAAATTGCCTGCAGCCAGAGGCAGCTGAAAGGAAAGAGAGAGAGGGAGAGAGAGAGAGAGAGAGAGAGAGAGGGAGGGAGGGAGGGAGGGAGGGAGGGAGGGAGAGAGAGAGAGAGAGCGCTTTGGTTGAAAGCTTGCCAGCATATGTGGGAGCTTTTGGGGAACACTGGCAATTATTAAAGAACTGTTTCTCTTGCCAGTTTACTGCTTTGCCTCCATGCGGGGCCCTGGGTCATCACACACATCTATTATATTGTGCAACAGTGTAAGAGAGAGGAACCAAGCCACGTCTCTGCCGAGAAAAAAAATCTTTGTTGGATTCCTTCTCCCCATTCCATACTGAGCTGCTCTGATCACAAGTAATATATCCCTTATTATTGCATCTAGGAGGCTGTTTGAGGCAATCAATCTAATCGATGACCAAATCAGCTTCTCTCCATTCTTCTTCATAGATCTCTCCATGCCTTTCCTACCAAGCACCCAAGAAGACACGTTTGTGTTCAGCACAGGCTACGATGAAGTCATTATTCCTTGCCGTGTGACAAATCCCAATGCTACAGTAGCTCTTTATGAAAAGAGGGTTAATGATCCAGTCCCTGGAATGTATTTTCCACAGCAAGGCTTTAAAGGCCAGTTCGAAGACAAGACCTACATCTGCAAGGCAACAATAGAAGATGAAGAGTTTGAATCTGAAACATTCTATGTCTACAACCTCCAAGGTGAATCTTTGATCAATATTTACAAGTTTTCACTATTACACATAGCATTAGCCAGTGTGTGGAGCAGAAAGGGTTTTCTGAATGAAAACATCATCTTAGGTAGGGGTGCAATAGCAATAGCACCTAGACCTATATACCGCTTCATAGTGCTAAGCAGTTTACAGAGTCAGCATATTGCCCCCAACAATCTGACTCATTTTACTGCCCTTGGAAGGATGGAAGGCTGAGCCAATCTTGGGCCGGTCAGAATCGAACTGCTGGCAGTTGGCAGAATTAGCCTGCAATACTGCATTCTAGCCTCTGCGCCACCCAACAACGGGAATGCCACACAGAAGAGAAGCCCTATTTGTTTTTTGTTTTTTTTAAAATGCTTATGCTCATTTGAAAAAGCAGACTCTGACATCATTCTGGTGGATGGAAATGACAGATCTTATGTATCTGTTTCACTAAAAATCTTGGGCAAGCTTTGCAAAATGATCCATCTTCTTTTAGAAAAAAATACTTCTGTTTTCAAGGAGAGCACATTCATTAAACAACTGAGAAGTGAACAGGTTGCAGTGGAAGCTAGATCATTACTTGCCAAAATGATGGACTACTCTTTGGCACTTGAGCAGAGCTGATATGTTTGTTATAGGAGGCTGATCAGTTTGATCCAAGCTATAATATTTAAGCTGCTTTGCATATAGGACATTTCTCTGATTATTATAATGTGAATTTATTTTTCTGATTGTTTCTCAATCTGAAGTTGAGGGATTGGTCACATCAGGTCACCTTGTTGATTTGCCAGAGCAGAAAGATACTCATATCTCCATTGTGGTTAAGTTCAGTGCCAGGCCAAGGCCTTTGCCCTGTTCTCCACAAGATTTTAAGACTTTAGGCTCTAATAGAAGAGAATGTATCTACCTCAGGGTTGAACTATGGAGTCCTTGGTGCTCTCTGAGCTTCGTTGTTGCTTGCAGACATTTTATTACCCAACTAGGTAACATAATCAGGCTAAGGGTGTTACCTAGTTGGATAATGAAACATCTTCAAGAAAACAACCAAACACAGAGTGCATCAAGCACTCCACTTAGGGTTTCTTCTTGTAGTCCTGTACTGGGCTAGTTATTATTCAGTGTTAACATCTTATGCTTTAATATTGGAGTTTTCAAATTGTCCAACAAAAAACAATTTTCTCACACTGAGATAGCCGCATATTGATTGAGCTTGTTGCAACTGTTTTTCTATATAAGTTGGTGTGAGCTAACTTTCTTCCTATTCATTGTTTTGTTCTTCCACAGTTTCTTCTTCTCCTACATCCTTAATCAACATTTCTATCAGTGCAGTGCAAACTATTTTGAAACAAGGCGAAAATATCATTGTGACATGTACAGTAAGAGGTATTGAATTGATTCGTTATACCTGGAGTTATCCTGGACAAATGGTAAGCAAGTAGACATGGATCTTTGTACATGTATGTACACACACACACCTGTGTTTTCTAATTCCCACAACACTATCTTATGCCCTAGGATATCAAACCATGTAGTAGGGCTGTATTATTATTATTATCTTTATCTTTCCAATTAACTATTCCTTTTGCATCTTATGACTATCACTTTGTTGTTATGATTTATGCTGATTGTTTTAAATGATTCTGGCCACAGCCATCTTCACTTCATTTTTGTTGCCAATAACAATCACTGAGTGTTGTATCTTATGATTCATGATGATTGTATTATGATTATGATCATGATTTATCACCTGTTGCTTGTATGTACACCGAGAGCGAATGCACCAGAGACAAATTCCTTGTCTGTTCAATCATACTTGGCCAATAAAGAATTCTATTTCAATCATAGGAAATAAAATAGACTCCGAGATGTTTTCTCTACAGAAGTATGCTTAGACATTATTGCAGAATGGCAATTGAATATTTGGCCATCAAAGCAAAACAAAGACATTTCCTTTCTTAATTATTACAGAAATATCTGCAAACTTTCATTTTTAATCACAATAATGACAAAATGTGCATCATAACTCTAGCAAATCCATTCATGTTAGCCCCACCACAGGAAAAACCTAATCAGCTGTTGGTGTTAATTATATTTCTGCCCCTAGAATAATGGTCAATTATACAGAAATAGCCCAATAAGTAGTTTGGTCTGATCAATGTAAGCATTTATATGCCACTGTGAACATTTTGAATTGGCTTCAGAAGACGGCCAGCAAGAAGTGATTTCAACAGGTGGGTTATTGTGGACAACCAAAATGCTTCTGCATTCTGACCGACAACTATTTCTGGACCCACTTTCAAGCATGGGCTAAACAACATCTTTATAATTCTCCAATCTTGAGATTATTACATGATTCATCCAAACCAAGTCTTTCTCCTTTAGGTAGGAATGCACCTGGATTATCAGCAAATGCTGATAAAAGGCCCTCCTTGTCATTGAAGTTATGTGACTGTGCAGCATGAATGCAAGATCCAAGAGAGCTCCCAGATCCTTAAAGCAGAATGCTTTAAGGCATAGCTCTCTCAGAATTGGGTATGTCTAGTTTAACGAAGAGAAGGACAAGGGGGGACATGATAGCAGTATTCCAATATCTCAGGGGCTGCCATAAAGAAGAGGGAATTAAGCTATTTTCCAAAGCACCTGAAGGCAGGACAAGAAGCAACGGGTGGAAACTAATCAAGGAGAGAAGCAACCTAGAACTAAGGAGAAACTTCCTGACAGTGAGAACAATTAATCAGTGGAACAGCTTGCCTCCAGAAGCAGTAAATGCTCCAACACTGGAAGTTTTTAAGAAGAGACTGGACAGCCATTTGTCCGAAATGGTGTAGGGTTTCCTGCCCGAGCAGGGGGTTGGACTAGATGACCTCCAAGGTCCCTTCCAACTTTACTACTACTATTATTATTATTATTATTAGTTCCAGAAATTAGTAGCATCTTCTCAGCTCTGTCTCTTGCAAATTATTTGCAATTTAGAGACGTTTTTCTTCACTTCTTCTCTGGGTATGTGAGATTGGAATACTGCCTTGCAATATCAACACAGACGTTCTGCTGCAACTCATGTTTGTTTTTAAAAATATAACATGGAGGCTGAGAAAGATGTGCATTTTATCATCCAAAGTAGCAGATTTATATTTTTTTATTATCAAATATCCTCATCAAAGAAGTGTTCTACAAAAGAGAACTAGCATCCTGCTTCTTGAGGAGGGAAAGGTATACTGCAACTTTATCATATATATATATTTCAGGTTTGGTATTGGTATGTTTTCTCCTGAAGTCTTACGTATCATACGTGCTGGTTTGCCATGTAACCATCAGACATTATACTAACAACAGAGGAACAGTTGTCATAGACACAGTAAAGAAAATATATTTCCCTAAATGAAAAATAAACCCATTTAATTATTTGAGAATGTGTATGGTTACGTTCCTTGTTGTTTGAGCTTCGGAAATGCTGAATGGATTAGTATTGAGTATTACTTCCACTGCATTATGTTTACTGTCTTTCACAGGTAGGCAAAGAGGTAAAACCTGCGACAATTATTGTTCCAGGACATTATACTAGTTCTATCCTAACCATTCATAATGCAGACTCAAATGATCAGGGTCTATATGCATGTGAGGCCACGGACACCTATCATGGACAGAAAGAAGAACAAAGTATCTTTATCAGAGTGATTGGTATGTTGGATGAAATCTTTTTTCTTGTCACCAAGCTGATACCATATCTTCCTGAAATAACTTTTATGCTTTAGGCATTTTAGTAGTATGTAAATGCTGATTTTCATAGGCAACATTGGGGGAAAAAAATCTCTTTTCAGTTCATTCCAACTGAAAAATAATAATAATGTGTGAATTAGTTTACCAGTATCATTTTTTGTTTAAGAAATGCACATTTGTTATGAGGCTATAAACAACATTACAAGGCGTCCCTGTTAAAATGTTATATATTTTGCTCAAGATGTCAGCTTTTTTTCTGGAAAAAAGCATAAATTGCATGGCACAGGAGGTTTTTTTAAAAAAATTCTAAACTGGGATTGTGTTCCAGACACTGGTTTTCTTTCACAAAACTTTATGTGATAGATATGCCAAGCTTCAGCCCAAATTGCTCACAAAAATAGCAAAACAATATTTTCCTTATTAGTTGCCTGATAATTTCGTTCATTCAGAAACACTGAAAAATATTTGCTTGCAAAGTTTCTCAAAATGCCTCTTCTTTATGTTGAAGGGGAACTAAAATAAATCAAGGAATTCCTAGACAAAAGCCTGGTTTTGACATGAGAGGATTAACTTGGTGATTAGCCAATGTCATCACTGCAGTTGCCTAAAATCTTGATGCATTTTAGCTACTTTATAAGGAGGAACTTCTTTTTCAAAGCAGTTGCTCTCTCCAAAACAAGCAAGCCATCAAAAATAACAATTTTGCAGATCAGTTTGTCCCCTGCTAAAGAGCAGGGGAATTTTTTTTTCTAGTCTCCAAGAAAGCAAACAGATGTTCCAGGTTGTCTACTACAACTCACCCTGGACTAATCCAACACTGTAGGGAGGAGGTGACAAAAAGGATCCTCGAACTTGCTATGCTTTATATCTCATTTAAAAAGAAGGTAGTCTGGCAGTACACTACAAAGTTATTTTTATTCTGTGACCAGTTAGAATAAGACTTTTAAAAGAAGCTATAATTCTGGGAATGGTTTGATCCTGTTGCTCCTGAGCAAGCACATGTGCAAGCACATGTGTTGTAGACCCATGTCTCTCCTGCTTTGTGAAAGCTTCCCGGGAGGTGACAGGTGGGTGGACTCTGGCAGTGATTCATGCTTCCTTACAGGAGCAGGTACTGCCCCAGCACTTTAAGGAGGCTGTGGTCGGCCCTCTTCTCAAGAAGCCATTGCTGAATTCCACCCTGTTGGATAATTTCTGACCTGTCTCCAGTCTTCCCTTTTTGGGGAAGGTTGTTGAGAAGGTGGTTGCGCGGTAGCTCCACAGGTTTGTGGCTGAAACAAATTATCTAGACCCTTACCAGTCAAGGTTCAGGCCTCGATATGGGACAGAAATGGCATTGGTCACACTTTTTGATGATCTCTGGTAGGAGTGGGATGGGGTAGTCCATCCATCCTTGCTCTCTCTCAGTGGCTTTTGATACCATCGACCATGGTATCCTTCTGGAGCAGCTTCGGGGGTTGAGAGTGGAGGCCCTGTGCTATCCTGGTTCACCTCCTTCCTCTGTAGCCACTCTCAGTCGATGTTAATAGGAGGTGAGAGATCCAGCCCTCGCCCACTACTTTGCGGGGCCCAGCAGGGCTCGGTACTCTCTCCGCTCCTATTCAACATCTATATGAAGCCATTGGATGAGATCATCGTCACCATGGACTGAGATATCATCAATATGCTGATGATACTCAGCTGTATGTCTCAGCCTATGTGTGAGTTAAGCGATGCCATGATGTCCCTCTCACAGTGCCTGGAGGCTGTTAGGGGCTGGATGGGGAGCAATGGTTAAAATTGAACCCTGACAAGACCAAGTGGCTCTGGGTTTGGGGTTCTTTGGTCCATGGAGAATTGCCACATTTGATCTTGGATGGTGTGGCACTACCCCAAACAGTCCCTGTCATAATCTGGGGATACTCCTGGACTTGCAACTCCTACTCGAAAAGCAGGAGGCAGTCATAGCCAGGAGGGCCTTTGCGCAACTGAGGATGGTGCACCATTTGCTGGACTAGTCAGTTAGCTTAAGAACTATGTTAGTGTATTTAGCATTTAAAGGGTTAAATGTGGGAGGAGTTTAAAGTTATTGCAGGACATCCTGTTACATGCCAGGGTTGTAAAATCTTTTGTGTAACCAGCATGAGGATGCATGCATGGCATTTGCAACCACGTTAAGCTATGGAGATATGGAGAATTACTGCTTTTTACCTATGAAAAATTGATAGATATGCAAACACCGGACGTATCTTCAGCATAGTAAGTCTTTGCTTAGAATTCCTGGACAATAAATATGTGTTTTAAAACCATTTTCATTGAGTTAATGCTGTCTGGGCCAGAACTACAAAGCATCTTAGTTCAGGTTCCGGAATACACCAGTTATGCCCTTTCCTGGATCAACAATCCCTACTCATAGTCATTCATGCCTTAGTCACCTCCCGTCTTGACTATTGCAAAACACTCTATGTGGGGCTGCCCTTAAGAGCTTCCGGAATGCATGGTTTTGTGCAGACCTATCTGGCAAAAATATGGCACACAAGCAGTGTCCCCTAGTGGTCAAAGGGTGAACTTCACTGAAGTATCCACGCATGGAAGTAGCAACCCCTAGTGGTCAAAGAGTGAACTTCACTGAAATACCCACACACACAAGCAGCGACTTCTAGTAGTCAAAGAGCGAAGTTCACTGAATTTGCCTCAAAATAGCTAGGACAGAAGATTTCGTTCAACCAACCAACCTTGGCGAGCCACTCCAACCAGCCAGCCATGGAGAACTGCTGCAAACAGCCAACCTTGACTTGTACACAGAAACTGATGTCCAAGCTTCAGTGAGGCCAAAGACATCTCAGATACCCTATGACCTGAGGCAACAAAGAAAGCCCACAGAAGTCATGCGATCGCATCTGATATAAAAATGGAAGGCGTTCCGTGAACACCACGAAAGAAACTGGGAGAAATTACAGGAACTCTGCCAAGCGCCTAAAGAGGAGCTTTCTCTTGAACACACTGATTCATTGAAGTTTTTCTTCAAATGGAAAGACTACGGATGCTGTCTCGAAAAGGTCCAGTTGCAGCTAGGGGATCCAACACTCGAAAAGGAAATGGAAACAACTCAGGCTAATAAACAAGGAACATGAGTGGTTCCTAGAAGAAAATAACTTTCAAGCTACACATGAAAGAGACACTGTGGGAGAAGGCCGAGTCCGAAGCCTCCCAGCCACCACGGTCCAAGGAGCCCAGCAGAGTATCACAGCTTTTTCGGGTCTCAGGCACCTCCCGTCATCTAAGGCAGACATGTCAAACACAAGGCCCGCGAAGTGGTTTCATGTGGCCCGCAAAGCCATCCTGGAAACAGTGAAGGAACGGTCCCCTCTGCCTTGGCCCTGGCCCAGGCCAGCTGGGAGCCAATGTACAATTTTGTGGTGGCCATCTATGCTGAAATGCATTCAGTCTTAGCTCTATAAGCCCCCTCCCCTGCTTGGCCTGAGAGGAACAGTGAGGCTCCTCCAGTGGACTATGCCTTGGCACTTGCCCTGGTCCCACCCCCTTCTGCCAGGGACCCTCAGATCTATCCCACTCCTTCCCAGGCCCCCACAGGCACCCTTGACGTGAAGGATGTAGAGCTGGCCACATCCACCCAGTAGGCCACACCCACTCCATCCATGCCCACCCAGTAGGCTTCACCCACCCTGGCCACACCCACCTGGCCTCCTGAGGGCAACCGCAATGCTGATGCGGCCCTCAATGAAATTGAGTTTGACACCCCTGCTCTAAGGTATCTTCCCACCTCACCAGCGTGTCACAACTACCTTCTGTCTCAGGCGCCTCCCATCACACCAAGGTGTCTTCTCATCGTAGTCATGCTTCCCGAGTTTCCAGGGCAGAGAGCCTAGCTGCCCAACTTGCGCAAGCATGAATAGATGCTGCAGAGACAACCGCAGTTCTATGCGTCACAAGGGAACAGCAGCTATTAAAGGACAACATGGCCAACTGGAGGCCAAACAAAAGGAAGAGATGGCAAATATGGCCCTGGATCAGGCCAGACAGAAGGACGAGATGGCCAAACTGGAGGCCAAACAAAAGGAAGAGATGGCAAATATGGCCCTGGATCAGGACGAGATGGCCAAACTGAAGGCCAAACAAAAGGGAGAAATGGCCAGGGCTCAGGCCAGGCTTGAGCTTCTGCAACAAGAACAGGAGGCAGCCAGAAACGTGGCAACACAATCTGAGAAGAGTCATGAACAAGAAGCCCGAAATGAAAACACATCTAGGAGAATTCATGGAAAAGATGTTCCAGAACGGACACGCAGAGCCTGCCCCACCAATGAAAGAAGATGAAGAATGCTGATACCTACCATTCTTTGGAGTGTAACACCCACAAAAGTCAGGGCAGATAAGAGTAGTCTTCGATGCCAGTGCACAACACCAAGGCATCTCTTTGAACAAGATCCTTCTTACAGAGCCTGACCTCATCAACAGTCTGCTTGGAGTGCTCATCCACTTCAGAAAGGAAGCTGTGGCAGTCATGGCTGACATCCAGCAGCTGTTTTATTCGTTCTATGTCAGGGGAGATCATTGCAATTACCTGCGCTTCCTGTGGTTCAGCAATGACCAACACAACCAGCAGGTAACCGAATACAGAGTTACAATACAGTGCACGTCTTTGGAAACGGTTCTTCCCCCACAATCACTAACTACAGCCTGCAATGCACTGCCAGTATAGGTGAAGCCGAATACGGTGCAGACACCAGACACTTCGTAGAATGGGACTTCTATGTCGATGACAGCTTAAAATCTGTACCCACTCCAGCAGAAGCTATAGACCTAATAAAAAGGACTCGCCAGATGTTGGTGGCAGCTAACCTTAGGCTACACAAAATTGCATCAAACAGCAAAGAAGTGTTGGCAGCCTTCGATCCTAAAGACCATGCTAAAGGTGTAAGGGACCTCGACTTTGGTACAGATGATCCTCACTTCCAACGTAGTCTCAGTTTGTGTTGGGACTTGAAGAAGGACATCTTCACCTTTAGAACCCCGGCAAAGGACAACGCTTTCACAAGAAGAGGAGTCTTGTCCACAGTAACCTGCTTGTTCGACCCTCTAGGTTTTGCTGCACCCATAACAATCCAAGGAAAGCTTCTTCTGCACTCACTCTCCCAACACGCCACAGATTGGGACAAGCTGCTTCCACCAGAGCACAAGCAAGAGTGGGAGATGTGGTGCAGATCCCTGAGTTGCCTCCAAAGCGTCCACATACAGCGCACGTTTGTTCCCCTTCCACTTGCCGCCACAACGAAGAAGAAGCTGCAAGTGTTCAGACGCTTCAATGAAGGCAATAGCAGCTGTAGGATATATCAAAGTGTACAGTGGGGAGAGCTGCAGCGTCGGTTTCGTCATAGGAAAGGCAAAGCTAACACCACCACAAAGTCACACCATTAGAACTCTGCGGTGCCGTCTTAGCTGTAGAAATAGCAGACCTGATAACAAAGGCGATGGACCTTGAATTACAGTCCACCACTTTCTATACAGACAGCAAGGTCGTGTTAGGCTACATCCACAACCGAAGTAGACGCTTCTACAGCTACGTAAGTTAGTAGTGGAAATTTATATTTCCAAGTGGGGAGTTAGCTTAAGAACTGTGTTAGTGTATTTAACATTTAAAGGGTTAAATGCTGTTTCCTTAAGAGATGGCGTATGGGTAATGTACTTCAGTCATAGTCTATGCTGTAGCTCATCTAGTCAGTGGGAGGAGTTTAAAGTTATTGCAGGACATCCTGTTACGTGCCAGGGTTGTAAAAACTTTTGTGTAACCAGCATGTGGATGCATGCATGGCATCTGCACCCACGCTAAGCTGATATGGAGAATTACTGCTTTTTACCTACGAAAAATGGACAGATATGCAAACACCGGATGTATCTTCAGCATAGTAAGTCTTTGCTTAGAATTCCTGGACAATAAATATTTGTTTTAAAACCATTTTCATTGAGTTAATGCTGTCTGGGCCAGAACTACAAAGCATCTTCAGGTTCCGGAATACACCAGTTATGCCCTTTCCTGGACCAACAATCCCTACTCATGGTCATTCATGCCTTAGTCACCTGCCCTTAAGAGCCTCCGGAATGCACGGTTTTGTGCAGACCTATCTGGCAAAAATATGGCATTTTGTTTTTTCATTTTAAAAAAAGCTTGATTGCATCGAGGTTAAGTCCAGCTTATAACTTTTTTCATACTGATCCAAATTGACAATCAGGAAGTCATTTCCTCCTTGAGTACCTTTCTTTGAATTCATCTCTAATTCTGTTCATAAGAAGGCAGGTTCTTTCATAATTGTTTCATTTTGGGATTAACATTTTATTAATTTAAGCAGGCAATTTTTAAGCTTGATTTGCTTTAGTGGCTTACACCCAAATATCTCAAAGTAGTTGGCAAAAAATCTTGATTAGGATTTGACTTCAAGGATGCCATCGTAAAATATAAAATCCGGGTTACGGTTTTTATAAATTAGAAGTAATGTTAAGATTCAAGTTGAAGTTCTTTCTTGAAAACACATAGTTTTATGCTGCTTATTAAAATAGTCAATTGGTGCTAAAACAGGGAGCCACTCAACTATCCTCATCATTAACTCACATTGTGAAACAAAATAATAATAATAATAATAATATAAGATCCATTTGTGTCTTTTCAATTCACCCTTTCTGACCCAGAGCGTGGCTTCGTGACTTTCCACACTGTACTGAATGAGACCGTATTTGCAGAACTGCACAAAAGTCACACCTTTTTGGTACAGATCGAAGCCTATCCAAGTCCAACCATCATCTGGTTTCAGAATAAGAAGCCCCTGACTTCTGAGAGCAACAGTGATTTTGCTATCAATAGCAGGAATTTGTCAGAAACCAGGTAAACTTTCATCTCAACATTTTAGTACATGCAGCATTAAGCCATCTATTATTTTTAATTGATACCCTGTATACATCATGGACAGGTATCTATCCTCCCTTTATTGAGAAAAATCTAGCATCACTAATGGATTTTATAAAGTTTGCACCTATATGGAAAAAGTTGATAATAGTAATAATATAAAGATAAGGGAAATATTTTTGGTATCCCTTTCTCTGTACTCATTGGTCCAATATAAATCAAGCATCCGGGAACTTATACTGTATTTACTGAATTAGAAATCAGAATGGAATGGCACGCTGTATCATTTAAGTTAGCTCTCACTTAACACATGATGGCAAATTCTAGATTATCAAATATCACAGGGGTATCCCAGAGATGCTTTTTCACGAGGTAACTGGACTTTGTTTTTCTTTGAAGACTTTTCACTTCTCCAAGAAGCTTCTTTAGCTTATCTTTGGGATAACTACGACCTAGATGACTAAGAATCTCCATAGACATATCACAAGAGTAATTCCTTCTAGCTTAACTAAAATGAATGGGTTTCTCTCTCCGAGTGGAAAATTTCCCCCTTGAAAGTGACGTAATTTTTGTTTCCATATAAGCTCCATTATCTTAACTCTTGCAAGATTCTTTTTTCTCCAGGTATCAAACTACTCTGACCCTTGTGAGGGTGAAAGCAAGTGAGGGAGGTCTGTACACTGTCCGAGCATTTCACGAAGATGACTTAAAAGAGCTCTCCTTCTATTTGCAGATTAATGGTGAGCACACCTCCTTGTGATCAATCAGTCAATTTTATTTACAGCCAAAAGAACCTCTTTGCAAAGATTATATTTCATTAAATGTATATTTTAAATCATATTTTAAATATCCAGGACAGGGCAACTAATTTTCACTTAAGTGTACAAAGAGTAGGATGGATCACCATGGGGTGCTACAACAGTTGTAACTTGAGGACCTGGTCATAAGTAGGATTTATTTTAAAATATATTTTATTGGTTTTTTTTAAATTTTAACAAAGAGTACTTTAGACACACCATGGTGTTTGGGTAAACAAACAATTCAAGGTGAAAAACATACATAAACAGCTCAACTTAATACATTCACTATCATCTCTCTATTTCTTACAAATAACATAATAGATTTAATATATTCCATTTCTAGCTTAAATTTCTGTTACTACTCCACCTGTTTTATAGCTTTATCAATTTAAAATTACCATAGTCAAATATTGTTTTACATCAACAAATTATCACTTCAAGTATCTCTACCATGTATATTAAAGTTTTTAATCTCTCTCAACCCTTATAAGTAGGATTTTTTTTTTGAGGGGGAGGTCTGCTATAACATTGATCAATCGCTAAGTGACCAGTCATATAGCAAACCAAGGACTATCTGAATATCACACGAATTCTCATAAGACTCTCAAGACAAAATGTCATGAGATTTCTTGCAAAAAGAAAAAAAAATAACTTTCTTCCAGAGCCAATTTTAGCACATAGTCTTGTTTCCCCTTGAGCAAGGATGGTAATGGAGGAGAAAAACCACTTGTGGCTTCCTAGGCTAGCCACACCCTACTTGGAACATCTATTCAGAACTGTACCTATTGGCTACTGTTTGTCAGTGTTAAAAGAGAATCCAAAGGCGGTCTACTGGCAGAAAGGGGCAGAATGAAGAATTCAATAAGACATGTGTAAGGGTCTCTGATGGAGAACATAACCCTATTTCTGGCCGATGCTATCTGGAGAAATGAAAGAAATTGACTGTCCTCTTTTGTTGTGGTCTTTTCAGAACCTGGAAAAGAGGAGGGCAGTTTGGAAAAGGAAGCAAGCTGTGAATGTCTGCACATTCCTCCTTTATCAGCTACAGCTGAACATTAGCATGCAGTAGGGTGTCCCTGGTACACTTGCAGCTCCTTCATGCAGCTATCGAAGGATGAGGGGGAATCTTATTAAAACAAGGAGAGGCTCCTTTCATCCGTCATGCTTTCGGAATGTATTCTATTATCTCTGGCTGTTCAATAAAAGCCTTGCTTCCATCTAGTGGTTGTTTGGATGTTTGCAGTCTAGACAGGGAGCAGTGGAGTTGGGTTCAAAGGCAAGGCAGACAGAAAATTGCAAAACCTGTATAATGGGATATGAAAAATAAGAAACTGCATGATTTCCCCTTTTTAGAAGAAGGTGCACTGTGAGAAACATAAATAACTATGTACTGAAGAAATTATAATAGGGTAAGCCGTTTTAAAGTACCATCATGGCAGGAAGTAAAGGGGGCCTGGATTAGAAAGTAGGGCTTCTCTTGAGTAGCTGCCAAATTGCAAAACATTCTGTCCCCAGCTCATATTGTTTCAGTGCTTAAGATGTTAAAACCTTTTATTTTAATAAGGAAGATTATGATGTCTAAGATATATTTAGGGGCCATAGTGCATTCTTTATTGCTTTTTGTTTTAATATTCCTTTTATTTTTATTGTTGTAAACTTCCCAGAATCTTTGGATTGGGTGTCATTTTTTTTTTAACTGGAGAAGAATGGTGGCTAATAAATAAATGGGCCACTTTATCTTCTAATGCAATGTTCTCAAGGGCTTCCTTATGCCTCTCGAGCAAAAAGCTTCTTCCTTCCCTAAAGCAATTTCTAGTGGGTCTTGAAATTGTCCCATTAAGAACAGTTTTCCATTCTTCCTTCCAAGTGTGGTTCCTACTTCAGACTTTCCTTTATCATGTGTTACTCTCCATGTCTGACTCTCTGGCTCAAAGTCAGTAGAAGCTACTGAGAAACTCAACATTGCTTGATAAGAATGTTCATGCAGGGGCATCTGTGGGGAAAGAAGTGATGAGAATTTTTTTGGGGGGGGGGGAAGGCAAATTGGCAGCTGCAACGGTGCAAGTTGAAACTCCACCATTTTTTTATGAGAGCCACAAGTGCAACAGTAAAAGGGACCAGGCTTCAACCATAAAGCTATGGCTACCTTCTTGACCAGTGTTTCTCAACCTTGACAATTTTAAGGCATGTGGACTTCAACTCCCAGAATTCCACAGCCAGCAAGGCTGGCTGTGGAATTCTGGGAGTTGAAGTCCATATGCCTTAAAATTGTCAAGGTTGAAAAACACTGATCTTGACATTTAACAAATATTAGGATAAAGCTGCTTTAATGAGCTAAATTGCTCTCTATCAACAGGAAGTGGAAACCCTTACTTTATCTATGATTATTTTATTAATTAAAGGATTCAATAATTTTTATGGCTTTCCCACAGTTTAACAATTACTTATCCTTGTACTCCTTAGCCAAAGTAATTCTGGTTATAGTCTATTCATATTTGTCTGAAGGGTTCTGGCTAGATTCATACAACATGCTAATCTGAATTCTAAAAGCTACATTATGGCTTAGCATGTCATGTAAACCCAATCATTATTACTCAAAAACCATGGTTTATGATTCGGAATACTGTAGATAGACCTAGCCAATTGTTGCTTATGCAATAATTGTTAAGAAAAAACACACCTTGGCAAGTTATTATGGTGGGTATTTGCAGTGATTCACAGCAATTAAGATCTTACGGCACCTTCAGTCTGCCATTTTTGTGTGTGTAAAATGGTGGAAATTTTCTTCCATTGCTATGCATGCATTCAAGTGTGTCTTCAATGCAGGACCACTGTGTGCATAATAACAAGCCTGACTATTAGTTATTAATGTTGCCATGTTTACTGTGATTTAACGTGATCATTAATTTACTCACAGGCTATCATTTATTAGCAATCTTCCAAGTAGCAATATTGCTCAATAACTGGTAACTGTGTATGTCACCAGAACTTTAGGGGATTTCCAGTTAATTCCAGAGGTGCCTGAATATGAAACTAAAAGCAATTCTAAAAAAAATAAAAATATAGGATAAATGGAATATTGAATAAGATATAGCAGGGAATTTAAACATCATGTTTTTGACTCAGAAAGTACCTTTTGTATCGTTCCTCTTTCAGGAAGCCTCCCCTTGTAAAAGCTGTATACCCCTATCACCAATTATTTGTTGTCTCCTATTCTTTTCTCCAATATAACCAGTCCCAGCTACAGTGACTGAACTGAAAGACAGTAGCAACAAAACAAATGGTGAGCAAACAGTGATCTGTACTACAGAAGGAATGCCCCAACCAGAGGTTACCTGGTATACCTGTAATAATGACAAATGGTAAGGAAAACATTTTGAGTCCTTTTGCATTTAAAACTCTGGGTGGGGAGGACAGCAGGAAAGAACTTGCCATGGGATTTCCCTGCAGACCATTCTTTTTATAATCTCATTATACATGGGATAAATTCGGATCCTGCTACTTGTTAGAGCGTGATTTGAATCACACAAGAAGTGAAATATGCATCAAAATGTCTCAGTGCATTCATAGGGGTATTTCTGTCCAGCATTCTAAGCCCTTAAATATACCCAATTCCAGCAGGTTATCCTCTCTTTTCATTTTTCCAATTGACCATCAACTTTCCATGGTTACTGAGCATATTCAGCCCTATTTTCAGATGGGTTCCGTTATCCCATATAATTTTGAAGGAGGAGGAGGAAAAGGAGATGTTTACTTCCACAAACCTTCCCTCATCATCCCTGTGGTCTCACAGTGGCTGTTTTTGGGCAACATTATTGGCCATTATGCTTTCTCCATAAAAACTCTGAGAGAACTACAAAATAATTATAAGAATAATAGCTGCTACTCTTTGCATGTCAACAGATGGAATCAACTTCCCTCCAAGGTTCGAACTACTCCCACCCTGCCGGCCTTTAAGAAAGCTGTTAAAACTCTCTTGTTCCGGCAGGCCTGGGGCTGATGTCCCCGGGGGGGGGGGCGGGATATGATCGGACACGCTGTATGATTGTATTATTTTATTGCTTTATTGTTAGATTATTGTTTTAATTTTGTACACCGCCCTGAGTCCATTGGGATTGGGCGGCATATAAATAAAATTAAATAAATAAACAGATGCCTTGGTGGTTATACTTCTGAGTTGCTATCCCTGCTTAATGTCCATGCTCCAATACCTTTTTTCTGAGCTAAAAACCTCAGTCCTTATGAGCTTTCCTCATAGGGAATTCCTGAATTATTAAACATTTTGCCCCTTTCTGCACATGCAATATATATTTTCTTTAAAATATGGTGACTGGAGCAGTGTATTCCAAGTATGGACACACTTAAGACTTTCTTTTTTATTGCAGTTTTATTCTTTCTTCCATCATGGATATCAAGGGGACATCCAAAGAGTTCAACACTGACCGGATTACTGACCCTTTTACTTGTAGGAAGATGGCTGAAATACATGTTTGCTTGCCCTGCTCTGGGTTGAATAATTGACTATGTAATAGGGCAGCTTGAGAAGCTAAGCACCGAGCTTCTGAATGTATAGAACCTACTTCTGAAAAAACTTTTAGTGGGACTAACCCACTTAGGTGTGCAGACACATGAATATGCTACAGTAGAGATGTAATCTATTACTCAATATGATGGTCAAATTCTCTTTGGTTGCTTTCCAAAACAGGTGTACTGGGGAAACTACCAAGATCCTGGGGAATAGCTCAGAAGAAATGAATCTGCAAACAAATTTCACATATGAAGATGACCGGAAAGTTTACATTGTGACAAGCAAGCTCCACTTTCACAGAGTAGATGAGCCTATTTTTATCCAATGTGCAGCTCAAAATCTCTTGGGTGCACACTCTCAGCAGATCACCCTAGTCCCATACAGTGAGTCCTGCAATATCCATCTTATTGTTTTTGATACACATATAGATATGCAATAGTGTAATTGCACTGGCCTGGGCAGAAGTGGTTTTGTGTCCCCTAGCTGTGCCATACGCCTATTAACAACTGTGAGTAATTTCCAGTCAGTCCCCCTATCCGGATCACAAGCAAACACACACACCACTCAGCTTAGCTATCAAAAATATAAGTTAATGCTATTTATTAAACATCAGCAAATGTCAAAACATTTAACTGGCAAAAACATGAAAAAAGACAGATAAAAGCAGGGAAAGAGAAATATATGAACAACAGGCAAAAAAATTTACATTATTTATCAAAAAGCACAAAAGTTTTCAAAATTAATAGCAACAATACTGTGGTAATTAGCATGGGCAGACTAAAAAGAAATATGGTAATATTGTTATTTTAAGTCCAGATGAAAAATGGATTAAGAATCTAAATAAGTATATTGGGGTAGCACGGGCCATAAATGTATATGTAAATTTAGTAATTCTGTTTACATTTCTTGTTTCAGATCTACCTTTTAAAGTGATCATTATTTCAGTAATCGTGGCCTTTGTGGTTCTCATGGTTCTTTTCCTGGTGATCCTCATTTTCTTGTGGCGAAAAGTAAGAATCAGCTTTTTGCCCTTCCGAGTCTCAGACTATTAAGTTCTCAGCTTTTGAATATTTATGCTGACTTTCAGAAAACAATTGGCTGAATAAACCTCTGAAGCCATGGGAATAACAGCTCTAGGAACGATAGCTGATTTGCTTAACTTCGATTATTATGAATTGTGAGTCTACTATGCTAAGGTTTTGAGCATAATCTGAAATACAATCAGAGATTACAGGATTTACAAAATTCCCCATAATGTAGGACAAATATCAGGGCTGTAGGGGATAGTATTAATGTTCTGGGTTTTTTTTGTTTTGTTTTTTGAAATTATATTCTCAATTTTCTCAGCAACAGTGTGTCAACTTTTTAAATGTGTAACTATTATCAAAATGAGAATGTTAAAAAAAAGAATGAACATTTTTCAAGTTTGTAGAAGAATTTTTATAGCATGGAAGCTAACAGAGCTAATGGAGCTGTTTTTAAATGGCTGTTTTGGGGTCCAGTGAATGGGTGGGAAGAGTACCGGCTGCTATCCTTCTTCAGAGGTTTGTTGATTTCTGTGCAGAGACTTCTGCTCATGTTCTAATGTACCTTAACCCTCTTAAGGAAAGAAGGCAACACCCTTCCTTGAAGAAAGGCCTTTATATGTAGGGACACAGCACAAATTGCACAAGGAGGAGATCTCCAGAGTGAGCCTCCTCTTGCAGTGGGCTGCACGTTATGTAGCCCTGCCATCTTCTATCTTTTGTTTCCTTCTACCAGAAGCCTCGATATGAAATTCGCTGGAAGGTAATTGAGTCAATCAGCTCAGATGGGCATGAATATATCTACGTGGACCCTATGCAACTGCCTTATGATTCCAGCTGGGAAATTCCAAGGGACAGGCTGGTTTTAGGTGAGAAGAGAAGGAACAGGATAAGAAAGAAGTTTCATACATAGAAGCCAGATGCCACTAAATACCATCATTGTCCAATGTATGACAACAGATACCATTCTTGCAATGAAAATTAGTTTTTTAAATGAAATTCTGTGGGGAACAGAAAGCCTTTGTCCATAATGAAACCACTTTACTCATTCTTCTCCATGACAGTTCGGAGGATAAGAGTTCATCTGTATAAGATTAGGGAAGGTTGCATTCAAAATTCCAGGACTGAATCTTGTTTTTCACTAGATGGCTCTTAGATGGTGAAGCCTCATTCTTTGATCTGCAGCATACTTTTCAGAGACTTTTAAAGGATGCTGAAAAATGAGTGATAGGCATAACTCTATTCAGAATGTAATATAATACGCAGCACTTAATATTATGGGGAAAGCCAGTAATTTACATTTGCAAATCTATGTGCTGAGGTGCTTCATAAAGATGAAAGAACTGGGCTGGGAATAAGATGAAGGCCGAGTTAGGAAGGAAAAAAAAAGGTTGCCAAGGAGACATCAGCCATTTTAATGCCAGAAGGGAAAGACCCTTGCATTGGGGGCTTAGAAAAATAATCAGCAGCTTGTATAAACAATGTACATTGTGGTTCTCTGGATACAATGTGGTTGTTAAATTGTATTTGGTGAATATTATCACAGAGGCCTTGACAGTTAAGACTATAGTAATGAAGGAGGAATATTGGTATTGTTGTTTGTTTAAATTCTGTGAAGCTATCTAGAGAATAAACTGGAGTGATGTGACCTAGAAATTTAATACATCAACAAACAAATCATCTGAGAATGTGAAGCTCGAAATTTGTAATTGCTCTGCCCCTACTGGTCACATTTAGCATGGGTGTGCTAATTGGGATCACACTCTTAACCAGGTCAGGGAGAGGCCAGCAATGGTCCACCCTTAAGTCATTCCCTGTGGCACAGCTCTTTCTGCCCAAACTTTCATATTAAGAACAGTCCATACAACAGTCCATACAAGCTGCCCCCCCCCCCCCCCGGCCATAGCTGTTTGTAGTTAGGGAAGAGGATGTATTTTATATTTTATTTTAACTTAATCAGAATTTTTGACTGTTGCAATCTTATGCTTCTCAGCTGTTTTATAGGAAGTAAAAAATACATAGCTATTTGATCTTCTGTTTGCTGCAGGGCGTACATTGGGCTCTGGAGCCTTTGGGCGTGTGGTGGAAGCAATTGCTCACAGCCTCAGCCATTCCCAGTCCACCATGAGAGTTGCTGTGAAAATGCTCAAGTGTGAGTTTGGATTGTTTCTTCTTCCTCCCAGCCCATGGAAATACAAATAATCATGCTGTCTTCCATGCCTGCCTTCCTCCTTTACGTTAACAATATATTGCCATATTCATTGTTTATCTATCTTTTATCTGTTCAGTTATCCTTGGAACCAATCATGTAGCATGCATAACGGTGTCCATAATGTATAATGTTATCTACATAGTAGCATACATGATTAATCTGGCTGAGTGTCGAACAAGATTGTCCCAGTCTTCCTTCACGTATAAGCCCTTTAAAGAAGAAGTATCTGTGTTTCATTACTGTATTCATCCACCCTACAGCCACAGCCCGAAGCAGTGAAAAGCAGGCTCTGATGTCAGAACTGAAGATCATGAGCCACCTTGGGCCTCACCTGAACATTGTGAACTTGCTTGGTGCTTGCACCAAAGGAGGTACTGTTTTCATTTTAATCTCTTCAACCCGGATGTCTGCCTCCATCTTTGCCATTTTCTTCCACTAACTGCAATTGCAGTCTTTTGATTTAGCATGGAGTTTGGCCAATAGATTGAGATGTTCATGTTTTCACTAGTTAATAATCTACTCCTGTTTTCTGAAAAGGATATAGCCTGCCCTTTATCACCCTCCCAATTTCCATCCTATTCAAATTAGAACACTACCATTTACCTCTTTCCAAACTATATATTTCAATTTCTTCATTAGAATGTAAGTTCAACTCCTGCTGATTTAAATGGAGAGATGTAGTTAGAATTTTGTACTAATAATTTGTGTTGCCTTTCCAAGACTTTATTTTTAACATCCCAGTTTAACACACAGCCCTGTATTTCCCAGTTGATCTGCCATCCAATTACTAATCACAGTTAATTGTGTTTAGCTTTTCAAAATCAGCCAAGGCCAGTTGTATGCTACCACTTAGTGAGTGCCATTTGAATGAGGCCACCTTTGATGTATAATGAAAGCCCTGTTAGTTTTATCGAAACCATTATACACATAACTTTATTTGCTATTTTTAGCTTTCGGTACTATAGAGACTGTCCTGATCACAAACAAATTCAAATGTTAATGGCACTTAGTTCTGAAAGTACTCTTTTCTAAATGCATTGCATCAAAATTGCTAACTGTCTTTCAGTAAGGCTTTTAAAATTATACAAATAGCCAAGTTTGTAAATAACATGTTAATCATCTGATATAGCTACACTGGAATATGTTTATTTTTATCAAATAAATCTGTTCCTGCCACCTGCTGAAATGTATAAAATCGCATTACAGTTTTTAAAAAGTATAACTTGCATGTCCAGCCTACTTTCTTGGTTTGGAACGGGGTCCAGTGCTAGTGGAGGTATGCTATGCTATGCAGGTATTTGCGACTCTGAAAGAAAAAAGAAATATTACTTAATCCAAATAATGAAAGCAGTGAGAGGGTCAATGCAGGAAACAGGGTACAAGGAGCTGGTTCACATGCTCATCCAGTTGAAGGCTCTTGTTTTGTAGAGGAATAGTCAGCAGATGGCAGATGTGTGATATAAATGTTCCAAGAGACAGCAGTACAAATCTCTGTGTGCACTCAATATGTCCTTGATCATTTGTTTACAATCAATATTTTATTGAAATCAGATTGCAATTACAATCAGTACTGATTTGATTATATAAATCAAAACAGTAGAGGGTAATTTGCCTATCAGATACCCTCAAAATATATCAATCCATTGTATTATTCCAATACTTGGCAATAATAATGATGTTCCAAATGACCATTGACATAGCATTATTGGTTTTTAATCAAGAAAATTGGGTATATATCTGGGAAATATGCTTTACAAGCTTCCAGAAAAGCATGCAGTAGAAAGACTAATCTCTTTCTCAGACACAGACATACAGAAAAAGAGAGGGAAGTCTATTTTCCACATATAAGTAATACTATTTTACCTGGACTATATCACTACATGCATGAGATTCCCCCAAATACTTGTTTTTCTAAGTAAAATGTTCCATTGCACAAAAATCTAATATTCAAAGAAGAAATATTCTAGATTAGCTTTTGTTTTGAAATGATAGTCTTGAAGTTTAGTGGAGTGCTCAGTTATGTCCACACACCAAACAAATATTTGTAAAGAATTGCAACTTCAGCAAGTCTATCATTAGCTTATGAACAAAAGGTATTCTTTGACCTTTTCTCTATACAAATGGCCTTTTCTGTATAGGTCCCATCTACATCGTAACTGAATACTGTCGCTATGGAGACCTGGTGGACTATCTACATAGGAACAAGCACACCTTCCTGCAGTGCTATAGTGAGAAGGCCAAGCAAGAAGCAGAATTGTATGGGAATGGCATGCGTGTGGACCGGCTGCAGAGGTGCCTGTCAATTTGATTACAGTATCTATTTATATAGTCATACCCAACTTATATAACAAACTACAAAACCTACTAATACAGAAACACATGCAAAAATCCATTAAAAGAACCCAGAATAGATTTATTCTTTGAAGTGCCACAGCATTGAGGATTAGGAGTTTTGTGTTCTTCCCAAACCCTGCCCCTTTTCTAGTTTTAATTTTCCTGGTACCCTGAAAAAGATCTTTGGGGATGACTTCCTCTTTACAAAAAAAATACGATTAAAGTGAATTCAACTCAGATTGGACTTATTCACTATTTTGTTTTTTAAAAATATTACATCAGATTTCTGTCATATTGGGCTCTAAAGGGAAGTGGGGGATATCCTGGCAGTTTTGCTGTATGGTCCTACCAAAGCCTTAGTAACATCCTGGTACCTAAGGGCGCCCAAGGTCTTGGACAAAATTGTGCCTCTGCAGCTCTTTTGACCTATCACTCCCAACTCTCCCCATGGTTCATGGAGGAGTTGCAGGTTCTGAAAAGGGTTAAGAGATGCTAAGAGTGCTGCTGGAGGAAAACAAAGGATGACTCTCACCAGACATGACTTAGAGCTGCTATTAAGGTCTACCTCATAGCACTAAGACTGGCAAAACAACCTTTACTTCTCTGCCCTTATTGCATCCCCAGAATGTCACCTGTCAGCCCTGTACTGGATCACCCAGTCCCTCCTGGGACAGAGATGCATAGATGATCATCTTCAGGGCTGTACAGTAGAATATGTTCAACACCTGATGGGTAAAATTGCTTGGAATCATTCCCAGTTGGATCTCATGTGTGGAGCAAGTCCATATGACATGCTGGGGAGAGGTCTTGCCTGGTTACCTGGGAATGGTTTGACCCATCAGCTTGGACAACTTTCATCCATTTTCCAACCTCTCCTTTTTGGTGAAGATTGTGGAAAAGGTGGTGGCCTAGCAACTTCTGAGGGCCTTGGATGAAACAGATTATCTGGATCCCTTTCAGTCAGGATTCAGGCCCAGTTATGGAATGGAAACAGCATTGGTCACACTTGTCAATGATCTTTGGCGAGAGCAGGATGGGGGTATGCAACCATCCTAGTTCTCCTTGAACTCAGCAACTTTCGGTACCATCAACCATGGAATCCTTTTGGGTCAGCTATGGGGGCTGAGGCTGGGTGGCACAGTTTTGTGCTGGTTTCGCTCCTTTCTCCAGGGAAAGGTGTTAATAGAAAGTGATGTTCAGTCCTCCGCAGTTATCTTGTGGTGTGTCACAGGGCTTGGTACTCTTGATATTTGCTACTTTTTAATATCTACATGAAATCACTGGGTTGAGGTATCTGTAGTATGCTGATCTTTTCTATCTTTTAATAGTGTAAGCTGCTTAGAGTTACCATGCAGTAAGATGGGTACCTAATATATTTTACAATAAAATAAACAACTATAATGGGTGATAGTTATCTTATTTAAGATGAGCATTGTTTCATCTGAAAATTACTTCTAAGTCACAATCCACTTATACAGAAATTGTCTTCAGAATGAATCAGCAGGCTTCCAGTTACATTGACTTGCAGCTTATAAAAAGTAACAAAGAACTACCAAGTCCATTTTTATTAGGCCCAGGATAGTGTAAGAAATATTTTGCAAAAATGTCCATATGCAATGCAGGAAAGGAAACATGTATTTTATCTGTGTGTGCGTGTGTATGTATGTGTGTGTGTGTGTGTGTGTGTGTGTGTTTATTCTTAATTAAGAAGAGAGGGGAGAGGAGGGCAAAGAGCTAAAGTGGCCAGATGGCCAGCCACTGGGTGTCTGTATGTGCACTAGGAGAGCGACTGCGGGCAGGAAAACAGCTTGTGAACCCGCCGATATATGGGACGACTAAGAGCACTATGGCCAATCGAAGCGAATGGACCGGTGACTCGCTCAAACAGTAGGGTGCAGAAGCAGCCAGCCATATAAGTAAACTTCCAGATCCTTTGCTTTCACTCTGACGACGTCGGCAGTTTGGCCGATGAAAGCTAAGTGGTTTTACGTTAAACAGCTTTTGTTTATGTTTTCATCCTGGTGTTCGATTCTTCTTTTGTTTTTCTAACATGCATACACCCAGGATTTGCATTTTTAATGTAATTAAGGATAATTATGCACAAGCAGTTTTGCTCCATGCTAGGAGATGGGAGAAACTTGCATGGCGCATGTCTACCAACTATCGCAAATTGGCCTTTCTCCACGATTGCATTTGGGGAGATTTATCACCCAAGTCGCTGCGAAGGAAACCTTTGATTTACTCCATGGAATCCCAGATGATCATTCGCCAGTTCCAGCGACGTACCATACGGGCCTTGATTAATGACCATCATAGGCGCATAGGAGCTCTGATGGCTGGAATCCAAGATTGCTAAGAACTCTGCCGCAGCACACTAACATGCCAACACTACCAGGCCCTCAATCAGCAGATTCACCAAGCCACCGTGAAGGCAAGCCAGCGAAAATCTGAGTTGCTCCAACGTAAAATGGATGTCCTATGTGCGTCGGACAACTATGGATATACCAACAAGCTAGTTCACAATCTGTCCTCTAAACCCCTGACCCACAAACAAACCACCTTGCTGAAACGTGACATAGGATACAATTTGACAGATGCACGAGCGATTGACTTCTTAGCGGCCCTGGAACCTAACATCCAGCGGATCGAGACCAGCGACGAGGTCAAGAACTCAATTAGGCAATGGTTATGTGTTTATTGATGGGCCACAAGCGATGCCAGCTACTACCCAGAGAGGAGAAGGGGGTCCTGGAACAGCTGAAAAATGACAAGACTATCATCATCCTACCGGCTGATAAGGGCAGGGCGACCATCGTCATGGATAGATCTGAGTACATTGATAAAGCCCTAGCATTGCTTAATGACATTACGGCTTATAGGACAATTATGAAAGACCCCATGACAACACTTAAAAATCGCATCAACAAATTGTTAAACAGCCTTAAACACCAGGGAAAAGTTAATGAGGACATATTGAGAAGAATACGCCCCGGGGATTCAGCCATGGCCAGATTTTACAGCCTCCCAAAAGTCTATAAGGAGGGGGTTCCCTTATGTCCCATCGTATCATTTAGAGGCACACCAACCTCGGGGTTGGGCAAATGGCTAAGCGGTCGCATTGGACACTTAGTTTACAATAATGAGACTACAGTGAAGTCGGCTGAGGAATTGTTGGAGACGATAAAGCCCCTAAGGATAGAGGATGATGAGATAATGATATCATTTGATGTCATTTCACTCTTCACCTCTATCCCACAAGATCTGGCGGTTGCTGTGATAAGGAGCCACCTACAAGAGGAGCAAGGACCACACATGGACTCTTTCCATACTGAGGATCTTGTACAACTCATAATATTGTGCCTGAAAACATATTTCACCTTCCACGACCTTACGTATGAACAAATCAAAGGGACACTGATGGGGTCTCCCATCTCGGGTGTTATCGTGGAGGCATTCCTGCAGCAATTGGAAGCTATGGTGATGGCCAAGTACCGTCCCAAATTTTGGGCTCAATATGTGGATGACACATTTGCAATCATCAAGAAACAAGACATTGCTAGTTTCATGGATGAGCTAAATTCAGTATATCCCGACATCCGTTTCACGGCTGAAGAGGAGACCCAAGGCACGCTCGCTTTCCTAGTCAGCCGTCAACCCAATTGTACCCTGTACACGACTGTCTACCATAAGCCAACCCACACTGACAGAATATTATATTATAGGAGTAACCATCCTGTGGCGCATAACATCAGTTGCATCAGAGCAATGTTCAAGCATATCAGCTCACACTGCAACACAGGTAGAGCCAGAGTTGAGCAAAGCCACATCTATCAGATCTGTAGGCATAATGGCTATCCTGCTGAGTTCGTTAGGTGGCACAGCAGGCCATATGAACCTCATGGCAGTCTATACACCAACACGCCAACAACACTGACCACACGAACGACCCTCCCGTATATCAATGGTGTGTACGAGGCAACAGCACGGCTGTTGGCTCCCTTTAACGTAAACGTTGCCCATAGACCGGACCAGACCCTGCGCACCATGATCATGCACCCCAAAGAGCCGCTCCCCAACGATGAAAGATCTTCTGTTATATACAGAATTAAGTGTAAGAATTGCCCATGTAATTACGTTGGGGAAACAACCAAAAGGCTCAAGACCAGGATTCATGAACATGAGTTGGCATTCAGGAGACAAGAGCAGCGCTCACAGGGATGGGCTCATATGGCCAGTCATGGCCACCTGTTTGATCTTGCCAATGCTGAGGCCATATCTCGAGATGCCACCAAGGGGGGACGATTGCTCAAGGAGGCTTGACTATTTGACGAGAACTTGATCAACCAACATACAGTATAGACCTCTTACCTGCTTACCGGACACTTAGGGATGGGAGAGACAGCACGTAATTCACGATGAATGCAACCACCCCGCTCCTTGCAGGATCAGAATGGTGGGGCTGTAGGTGAAACAATCGTGACCACCAAGGAGGACTGTAAATCTATAGCACCCCCCGAATTCAACTCTGAGAAGGATACTCAGGTTCGGTTAGAAGAGAGGGGAGAGGAGGGCAAAGAGCTAAAGCGGGCAGATGGCCAGCCACTGGGCATCTGTACGCGCGCTAGGAGAGCGACTGCGGGCAGGGGAACAGCTTGTGAACCCGCTGATATACTGATAGATGCGGGACGACTAAGAGCACTACAGCCGGCCGTATAAGTAAACTTCCGGATCCTTTGCTTTCACTCTGCTGACGAAAGCTAAGTGGTTTTACATTAAACAGCTTTTGTTTCTATTTTCATCCTGATGTCATTTTTCATTTATGTAACTTAAATTTAAAAGCATCTCTTTAAAAGCAAAAAAAAGCACGCCGATTTCAATCAATATTAGCAAGTAAAAAGTATTGCATGTACCAAATGATGAGAGATTTCAAAGTTTTTTATATATAAAATTTTGTCATAGGAAGGGATATTCAGAGATTCCTCTAGTTATGGTACTTTCCATACAAATATACAGGGTGTTTCTAAAAGTCATGGCCCATAGACAATTTAATATATAAGTTACATTAAAAGTTTGAATTGGTTTACAGATAGTCCTGACCTAGATCACAATTGAACCTCGAATTAGGTCATAAATTGGGCCAATCACTAAGCAGGTGATCGTGCCCTATTTTACTTCTATTTTGTAGAAGTCATTAAGTGAATCCATTGTCCATAATGATCTTTTTTTTTACCAGAAACTGGAAATAAACATTGGTTTTCAAACAAAAAGCATCATAAATTGTGGTCACAGGACCACAGGATATTGCAAACAGCCATAAATATGAACCGGTGGTTGTGCAGCAACTAAAATGGGATCACATGACCATGGGAAATGGGACGGCTGTCAGAATTTTAAATCCAGGTCATAAATAATCCTGTGGAGATCTTTCAGAACTTTGGCCACTAAATGGCTAGACATAAGTCGAGGACTACATGTACATTTAACATTTCCTAACTCATTTGAAGTATGCTTTTTGAATATTCCTAAGTACCATAAGGTTTTCTCTAAAAAAAAAATCGATAAAATATATTGTGATAGGCCCATAGGGCTCAACTTTTGGTACATGCTGTATACACGCAATAGCCTTCAATTACTGATAATAGGCAAGATGTTTCGTAACTCAGGCATTTGACCACATGCACATACTGCATGTCTCACATGCCGTAATCTTTGATTCAGTCTTGCTGGTAAATAATGTGTGCATAAATCACAGCACCTAATTTATCTTTCACTTGGAATATTTCTCTGGCATTCATGAGGCGATCATTATATTTTGCTTTCTTTTCCTCCATGAAATAATTTCTCTTGCACTTTCCTTTTGCCTAGGAACAGCTTTTACTATTGTAAACAAATAGTGGGAAGGAAAAGACTGCTATATTTTGATTCTTGCCTTCCTGATTTTATACCAGGGGTGGCTTATTATCAGAAATCTGTTCTAAAGGGACAAACAAACAGTTTAAATAACTTTATCTCTGCAGCCATACATCCATATCTGTAGAAAGTGATGGGGGCTACATGGACATGAGTAAGGATGAATCACTGGATTATGTGCCCATGTCTGACATGAAGGGTGAAATCAAATATGTAGACATTGATTCTTCCAATTATGGCACAACCTATGAGCTGGACAGCTATTCACCATCAGGTAGGAGAGATTTCCGAAAAATAGTTTGCATAATTATTTTTCAAATAAGTTTGTGGTGATTTAATTCCTTTAAGAGAAATTACAAAAAATGAAGTTTTGTTCATTCTTAAGTGTTTCATCCAGTTGAGAAGTAGTTCTCAACTTAATGACCATTCGTTCAGCAACCATTCAAAGTTACAACAGTGTAGAACAAAAGGACTTACAACCTGTGGGCAAAGTTACAGCAATTGCAGTGCCCACATGGTCATGTGATCTCAATCTGGGTGATGGGAACCCGTCCGCACTTAAAATTGGTTGCCATGCATCTCAAAATGTGAGATCACTGTTTGCAATCTTCCCTGAAGGCTTCCCCAGAAAGTCAATTGGGGAAGCTGGCAGGCAAGGTCATAAACTGCTGCTGCCTGTCAAGAGGACTCCCTCTGGTTTCTGGGGCTGGCTGTAAAAAGTCCATCCGATTTTCAGCCATGGAGGATTTGTAGCACCAGAGCAGAGGGATGTTTCTCTACTCTAGGTCTGAAAATCCTGTTAATCTTGTCAGCAGCTGGAAAAACCCACAGCAAAGGTAAGATAAGTGTAGTGCTTTGTTTGTCCCGGTGGGGCTGGGTGGGTGGTCTGGCGGCTGGGGCTTTGTGCCATTTTACAGCACTCTCAGCTTGTCCGTGGCCTCCCCCACCCTTCCTGAAGCACCCTGCAATCTTAACCTGGGATTCCATCCACTTAACCCGTGAGATTACCTAAAGATTGCCAGGATTGCAGTCATTGAGCAAAGCAGTCGTGTGATATCTTTCTTAATGGCTGCTTCACTCAATGACTGAGATTCTGGTCCCAAGTATGGTCATACGTTGAGGATATCTGTATAATTTAATGTTGAGTGAAGGAAGCTTCCGATTCCATTGATCTTATATTCCAACAAGACCGTTATAGAAAGGTGTTATGTCTCTATCCTTTTAAAATATGATTTAATAAACACTGTATTTTTATATTTTATTTTATATTTCCAGGTTCAGAAAAAGTGACCTTGATCAGCGAGTCTCCTCTCCTCAGTTATATTGATCTTGTTGGAGTTAGTTTCCAAGTGGCTAAGGGAATGGAGTTCTTAGCTTCTAAAAACGTAAATATATTTGCACTCAGAATTATATAATTATAGTTATGGATATCTGATTTCAAAAGAGAAAGGGGGTAGTTGAGTATGTGTTTGTGGTCAAAGAAACAGAAACAGGTAGAGTGAACAAGGGCGTTTCTCTCAAAAGCATAAATAGGAAGCTGTTACTGTAGGTGTTGCTAGACTTTGGTATGTTGGTTTTTTAGACATTACTGCAACCTTTTTCACAACAAGCTGTGTTTACCTAATCCCCCCGCATGCACAAACCAAAAGCCATGACATTCAGTAAAAAAGACTAAGCTCAGTATGTTCAGATTCTTCAAGCAAAGTGAAGTAGTCCCTCAGAATGCAGATTTGATAGATCATGAATGGGAAGCTGACTATTGGTTTGTATTCTTACTTACCAATTAGATAGAAGATCTGGTGAATATATTTTACTATATATGCTCCCAAAACTGGTTAATTTGGGGAATTAAGCACCTTGATTTAAACGGGTTGATTGGAGGGATTCCAGTGGTTCCTCTCCTTCAAGTAGCAAAAAATATATATTGCAGTGCAGCCTAGTATCACAATAAATTAACTGTGTCACAGGGTTCGTTTCAGACATAATAGCTCACTCATCAGCATGTCTATGTTGCCATAATCTTGATTAGGGTTGGGCCTTTTTCGTCACGTAAGGCATTTGGCTAACAGTGGTGGCAAGAAGAAAAAAAAGCTAAAATTTGTGCAGACAAAGACTGCTTCTAAGTTACCACATAATCTGTGGTTGTTTTTCCTGAGGTGCATTCTCACAAGCCAGCATTAAGATGTCACATACAGTAAGGATGTCACAAGGAATTGCTAGTATCACAAGACAAAAAAAAAAAAAAAGAAAAAAATGCCTAGGAAACATCCTGACCTGTAAGACTAAGAATTTCTCAAGTTCTGCCAGCAATGAATTTGAATAGCAAGATAGGCAGCATATACATTTAATAAATAATGAATTTGAAGGGCAAAAGAATCACAGCATCTCGAAGTACAAGAAAATAATTCTGCAATGCGGTACGAATTCAGCCTTTGTAGTTTCTAAAACACAGCATGTTATGTGAACTAGGCAACAGTGGCTATTCAACAAACAGTGGTTAAACGAAAAACGGCTTAGCACAATCTACAAACTTAGTGTTCAAAATCAAATTCTCTGATTTTGTATGATCCTAGTTTCTTTGGAACCATGGGCATAAATGCCACAATATAGTAAACAATGGGAACAAACTCGTTTTTCTGTTCCCTTGTGGCTGGTTGAAATTCCTATTGCAAAGGCTTGCATATGTGTGAAGCAAGGCAAAGGAGGTGGAACAGAGCAGCCTTAGTTTTAACCCAAGATTTCCAATAACTGAGAAAATATTCTGTCTCTAATCCTTGTTCAATTGACTACCAAATATTCCTTCAACACTGCTGATAGGATGATGTCTACGCCAGGGGCACAGGCTAGTTTGCGGGCTGGGTGGGGACATTCACATCGCTGTTTCCCAGCTGAATTCAAGAGGAACAAGTTGAGAAGATCCCAGTTGCTGCCTCCTGGCACCTGCTGCCTAAAGGAATCCTTTACATGCCTGATACTTAAGAGCTATTCAATGATAGGAATCCTCTAGTCAGCCAGTAATAAAAAGAACCTAACCCCCACCCAAGAAACCAGTTTGTTCAAAGAAAGAGCAGTGGTCAGAGGCCCAAGGTGCTGCATTAATGCAAATATGAATGTGTACCATCGTTTTCACTAATAGTTGCCCCAAACAATGAGGTGGGCAGTGTATAAATTTAACAAATAAACAAACTGAGTCCAAATAGTCTTTGAGCAACCTATGACAGTGGCAGGGATAATGGTCTTTAAAATAAGTATGTCAGCTAAAGCACTGCTACTTGCATTTTTTGTGGGTCTTCTGGCACCACCTTTGCAGAGTATTTTAAAGGATTATGAAGTTTACAAAATGAGGCTGCGGTGTGAGAGGACAAAATGAAGTCATAAAGCTTAGACAGCAGTATTTCTACAATGTTTGTTTCCACCTCTCTCTAGAGCAGCTGCCTGAGCACCTCTTCAGCATATTCATTATATGTCTCACTGCATTTTATGATTCTGCTTCATTCTGAAGAACTCTGAGGCACAATAATTTTGTTTGAAAGAAAAATTAGGACACCCAGCATATATGTCTGCACACTCAGCATGTCTTTTTCCCTATTATCCAGTGTGTGCACCGTGATCTGGCTGCAAGAAACGTACTGATCTGCGAAGGGAAACTGGTGAAAATCTGTGACTTCGGCTTAGCGAGGGACATCATGCGGGATTCCAATTATATTTCCAAAGGGAATGTGAGTAGCAAGATTACCTGGCCTGTAGGTGTCCCTTTTACCAAAATAGGAAGAGTTAAACATACATTTAGGATCCTTGGTCCACCTGACCTTTTTAATCTCTTAGGGAAGGCACATACCCACAAATCTGAATTTCAAATCCTCAAGCATGCAGCCACCATTCAGAGTAAGAAATACGAATTCTCAGAAGACATCTTCTACATTATATTTTAACTAGACCAAACTTAGCCTGAAGAAATACAGATTTTTTGTTGGTGGTGATAACAGCACATCACCGTTTTGCCTTACCAAAAGTGTACATTTAGCGATTTCCCTGATAGTTTTTAAATGGGTCGCAATAATTTGGCTATTTTCCTACACTTTTAAAAAAATTGATCTACACATTTATGTTGTTGCTGCTATTTTAACAATTTTATTGCTGTTTTAATGATTTGTTTTTCTAAAGTTTATTCGTTTGTTTAAATTGTGAATTTTTATTGTGAAGTCGCAAAGTATCTCAAGGAGCTTTGTTTCAGAAAGAAACATAAAATATTTCACATAGATTATTCTGGCTCCACCCACCAGATAATTGAACCTATTTTTAACATTCTTCATTGATAATTTTGCATGGAAATATCTTCATTTTAAAGTCTCTGGAAGATGAACTTTTTCCTGAATTTAAAAAGAGACTTTACTTTGCAAAGGTGCACATTATTCTTCACATATTCACATTATATATTCTTTTATATGTGAGATATGCCAATAGAATTTGGTACACACACAGAGAGAGAGATTGAGGCTTTCAAGGACTGAAACAGTATGACTAGAGTCACAATATGAATCATTTTGCACAGTTGGAAACAAAAGGCACGTCTCAATCTCCCTTACCCTGTCACATTCCCCAGTAAATAGGAAACGAAACCCCTGGCTCTTTGCAATTCTTCCTGGAAATTATTTTTTTGTGCTGGTTGCACAACCGAGCCCTCTTTCAGCCTAGAAGATGGTGATTAGACAGCACGCAAGCAGCTAAATGAAAAACACAAAAAAAACCAGAAGCAGACTTATTTCACATGTCACAGAAAAGCATAAGCTGGGGGAGATGAATACAGGAAATGGTGGTAACAAGCATAATATAACTGTCCTTCTGTTGAGAATATCTTTTGCTCAGCCAATCCAAGTTTTTTTCTATCCAATTTAATGTTCCTCCAGATTATTTTAGGCTGCGTTTTTAAATTATTTGATCTCTGGAAGCTCACAACCATCCTTTATGTAGGTTAGTTTATGGCTAACAGTTCTCAATATCATTATTTCAATACAAATAAAATTCATTAAAACTAGAAACTATTAAAATAAAGGTAAGACAATCTTATTGACCATTCTCAGTTATTTGGGGAAGCACAAAGAGTTAGTCTGCACTTAAGAGGCACCAAAAATCTGCAGCTATATTGTTTTCCTAATATTGCATGAATCTCCAATTCTCCCTCACTGCACTATTGTATGTCACTATGGAAACAATCTAATACACATAATAGAGTGTAAATAGAGGTTTCTATGTATTAAAGTGGCCCTGTTTGGACGCATTAATATTTACAAGCTCAAGGATATGATTAGAGACCTGTGCAATGTCAGAAGCTGTGTCTTCACTGAAGCCTTATTAGCTTTCAATATGTGGAATTTTGTCCATACATTGTAACTTGTAAAGAAAATGAGTATGTGAAGTTTTTCCTCCTTCCATCTCTGGTTTTGAAATAGCCATCCTTTCCTTGAAATTGGATTTGGGTTGTGATGTTTTAAATTACTTTTGAAGCAGCAATCCATTCTCTACATACAAAATTTAGAACTTGTTACTGTTAATTACTTGACTAAGTGTTTAACTGCTGATCCAAGTCACATTTTATCATATTGCTATCAAACTGAGCAGGACTGACAATAGCAAGGTCATAGTCATGAAATCCCCTTCTTGACTAAGAAGGATTCGTAGTTCTTCCCAGGTTCCAAATAAATTAGTTCCTTTAACATTTCACAGAAAAGTATCATTAGCAAAGTAACCATTCAAAAAATTTCAGTGGTCCGTGCTATGGTAAGTTTTTTTTAAATAAAATCCATTTTACCTTTTTAAATAGACCTTCTTGCCTTTGAAATGGATGGCCCCTGAGAGCATCTTCAATAACCTCTACACTACCTTAAGTGATGTGTGGTCTTTTGGGATTCTTCTATGGGAAATATTCACTCTAGGTATGTCTCTTTGGTCAGCGTTGCTATATCTTTAACCTTTACTATATCCTGCCTTCCAAATATTCTGTGTTTAAAATGAAAAACTGTTACTTCTGTAGTCTATCTACACAATCTTCTCTATTTATATTAGTGTCATCCATTTTTCTGTCCAAGAGGGACCATTCCCAACAACTACTGTATAGCCATTGTATGAAACTGAGAAAGAAGTGGTGGTTGCTTAAGTTCACTTTTTTGTTCTTAGGTGGGACTCCATATCCTGAACTGCCTATGAACGAGCAATTCTATAATGCTATTAAACGTGGCTACCGGATGTCCAAACCTACCCATGCATCCAATGAAATGTGAGTGGTTTGGGTAAACAATTGTCTATCTAATGTAGGGGATATATCCACTTTCCAAGACTTTCCCAAATCTTTCATATGTTTTTAGCTATGAAATTATGCAGAAATGCTGGGAAGAGAAGTTTGAGATCCGACCGTCTTTCTTTCAACTGGTAGTGCTTATGGGGAACCTGCTAACAGACAGCTACAAGAAGGTAAATTATATTTGACCTGGAAAGATAAAAAGGATCAGTTTTAAAATCAAAACCTAAATAATATATTTTTCTTTACCCATAGAAAGTATATGGGACTGAGTACTCGTCTCCAGTTGGCCATTATTTGGGGAAAGTACTGAAAAATATGTTTCCTACTTATTTAGCACTTTTGATGTGGTTCCAGGGTTTAATTGACATCCAGAATTCTAAACCTTGACCTATTGTTCTCCATTGTCATAAGCTCTTAAAAGATGTAGGTTTTTGTATGTAATGCCCAGTGGTTTAATATTAGAATGATGGGAACAGTTTCAATAAGCAGCTCAACATCCTAATATCTTTCTCTATAAAAAGCATGCTATAATCATAACTTGTAGGTGAAGCCTTACTTTGTTGGGGGGTGGGAGGTGGAGAAATAAACCAGATATATACATATTGTTGTATCAAAATTCTCCAGTTGGTGTCTTTTGCACTATAATAATGTTTCTAACGATGAATCATGTTATTTACTAGGAACGATAGTAGGAACCCTGAGATGTATTTCTGTAAATTTGTAGGTTGAATGCCCAACCCATTTCTACATCAGCCTCATTTTGGGGAGATTCTCAGGTACCCCTGAAATCTGAAGTAAAATAAGTGACAGGAACATAAAATTTGGCATTTTCAGAATTGTTCTATCCAGACTGGTGACCTGAACAAGTCAGTCAGTTTGCTCATATTTCTGAAATAAGTCAGACATGTAGTAGGAAAGGGAATCTGATTAACTATAATGGCTACAGCTTGGTGCACCAGACTGCAAGATATGTACTACAATCTCAGTTTGAACCAGATTTAATGTGACAAAAGCTTCATTCATCATCCAAAGCCCTTTAAACATTTAAAAGATAAAGTTGGCATATCTCAAGTTAGCAAAGTATAGATACATGACCAAAACGTTTAGCTTATACAACACATTGTTTTGTTTTTTTTAAAAAAGGTAAACACACAGTATGCATGCATTGTCCCCATATTGAGATGCATTTGACCTCATCATTTACTCCTGGAGATCCCACAATTCATATATGTCTAAAAAATCTACTTAAAAGAAAGTTCCATCCATTTTCAATAACCATGATTTCTAAATGTTTGGAATTGCAATGATAATATATTAATTATTACTGCAACATCCAGATGTATTATAACTCAAGTATAAAAAAAATGTTCAGTATAGAGCTGTGTCTCGTGTATATGAATAGGTGTATGTACTCATCCCTGCTTTCTATTCTCACTGCCTTGCATGAGAGCAGAAGTATCAACAAGTCAATGAAGAATTCTTGAAAAGTGATCACCCGGCTATTGTGCGTATCAGGCCCAGGAATACAGGATTCAGTGCTTCTAGGTCCACTGCAAGTGACAGTGTCAGTTCAAGTTCGGTCCTCTATGCAGCTGTGGAACAGAATGGAGTGGACAATGATTATATCATTCCTTTGCCTGATCTTAAACCAGAGGCAGACAGTAATAATCCTCCGGAGGCCTCTAGCAGCAGAGCAAGGTTAGAATATTTTTAATTTGTGGTGCCTACCATGACATTTGGTCCCAACGGCTTGTTCTCTTGGCTAGGAAAATATAATGAATATGAAAAATATTGTTGAAAAGAACTTTAAGGACTGCCGAATGCCTTCTCTGAGAGATATATTCATTAAATAACCCTTCTAAATTATCCCCTAGCAAATTCTTTTTTCAAACTTAAGAGCATGTCTCTGAATTTTTCTGCCATCTCTCTCTTGCACCACTAACTCAAAAATCAAACTGGATGATGATGATTTTGATACTAATTATCATGGTACGAATGACCATGATGATAGTGACAATGATGATAATAATGATGATGATGATTCTGGCCATTCAGCTATGCCTACCACAATTGAATGGTCCTAATTCTCACTCTTTTTCTTTCTCAATTTTAGTTCAACCCTGAATGAAGCAAACACATCATCGACTATATCTTGTGACAGTCCTTTAGGCCCTGAGCAAGAAGAAGAAGAAGAACAAGCATCTGAGTTAAAGCCAGATTGCTAGGGTTAACAGTGCTCTGTGCTCCTGTATATGCTAGCACTGGGAACTTCCATCCGGTGGGGGAAAATGTGCACATCCCCTTCATTCAAACGTATCAAAGTACAGCTTGTCCCTCCTTCCTCTTTAACCTAAAACAGAAGCCTGGAATTATCAAAATAGGTCTTTTCTGAGACCAGGAACATCCAATAGGACTGCAGACTAAATCAGAACAATTCAAGTCAGTGTTATGTGATAATTCTTTGTAGCTTCTGAACTGAGATTATGTTCATTTCAAACTTTAATGCAGAATTTGCTCTTTGTTCACCATTCATGTTTCCACCTACTAAATCAGGATCTCAGAAGAGAATCTATAACATCTCTCATCTTTGAAGAGCCACAACAGTTTCTGGATAAAACTGCTCTCCCCATGACATAGCATGTCTGCACAAGGTCAAAGAAAAGAATCTCCCGGGCTCAGTCAGAATAAACGCTTTTTGATCCTTGCAACCTTACTTGACTGTTACTCATTTACTGGATTGTCAAGTGATGCTTTTAAAAATGTATCCTTAGAAAGGATAGAAAATGGACAAATGGACAGAAGGACAGAGATCATGTGCAGGAGTAGTTAAACTCACTATAGACTCAGAAAAGTCTCCTCATTGTTTTAAATTTCAAGCTCAGAAATTTAAGCTGGGGCCTGACTTTCTTCATAGGTCTCCCACTTCTTTCATTACAGCATTCCGCCATTAGGGGAAATGATTTCATGGGTTACAGGTACATAGATACTGCAGCTGCCCAGGCAGTAGCTAAGGACATTAGCTAAAGTAGCATTTTGTGTGTGTGGTGTGTGTGTGGGGGGGGGGAAATACAGAGTGCATAGAGACTCATCTAACGATTCAACTGAGGCACCAGAAGCAACACTCAGTATTATATTTTCAGCAGCAGGCTGCCCTTTCATTGGATGAAATGAAGTGATTAAAAAGGAATGCTTGGATTTATCCAAGACCGTAAGAGGATGAAAAATGGATCATACATTTTCTCTTTCTGCTTGTGCACTTTGTAAGCAAAAGGGCTCACTGCCTAATTGGCAGCTATATCTTTGGTTTACTTCAGAGGGTTATTATTAACAGCCATTGTATTCTGCTGAATCCTAGAGGTATTCAGTTGCAACAGGTAGGTCTTGGAAAACAAGGTTGGATCTAATTAGTCTTTGATGGGACTTAAACAACTAATACAAATGCCAAGGCTGTAGGCTGGTTAGGAAATTGAAAAACTTTCTCAAGCTGCAAGAAGCTCTTTCTTTATTGTTGCCAATGAGATGACATTGGCATGGATTTGTTATGAGGGAACATTTACCATTCAGTCTTTCAGAGGCTGGAGAGAGCACTTAATAACTTTGGGTTGCAATACCCATGGCACCAAATACCTTCCAATGTGCTTAAAAGTGGATCTAATTACTAGGTAGAAAGATCTAGGAAAGATAGGTCCCATACTACTTCCTATGATAAATGTGAGTTGTCTTACATAAATTGGCGGTCCCCCACCCCATTCATTTAGTGCCATATGTGTAGTAATATGGCACAATTATGAGGATTGTTTTGGCTGTGGCTGCCATCTTCCCTTTTTTAATCCACTGAAGATACCCCAGTACTTCCCATTGGCTGCTACTTAGGATTTGATGAGCAGGTAGCTAAAATGCTTTTGTGCATTTCATGTGTCTTTAGCTCTGCACAATGCAAACATGTATTCCAGTTTTGCTGGAAAGCATTCTATTATAAAAGGGCTTTTTTTAAAACAAAATCTAGTGTCATCTTCTACAAGAGGTAGTTCTAAAGTGTCTCATTATCCTCTTTAAAAAAGTATTTTAGCTACTTTTGATCACATTGTATTAACAGTAGATCAGGTATATTATATACCTATAGTTAGGGGGTGTGTGTGTGTGTGAATGAATCATATGGACAGGAGGGTATATATAAAGTTTATTTTCCTCTAGTCAATCTATTAACAATTTTCCATTTTTAAATAATATTCATATTTACTACCTTACCTTTTCTCTGTTATGTTTGTTCTTTTTTTAAGGTACTGTCAGAGTATTTGTTATAAATGTTCAGTTGATGTGGCAACAATAGAGTTAAGGAATGTTTGCAGGCAAACATGCCAATTTAAAGTCCAATGTTACAATAGCTAAAATGAATTATTCTACAAATTATGGCCAGTACTGGGTTTATCTCCTTCAAATATATTATATACCTTTTTCAATCAGCTTTTAAAAATATTTTGTGATAACATTTTCTAATTATCACCCAATTGATTATATTGTCTATTGAAAATACAAAAAGCATTTCTAATTGTATCATAAAATTTCTGAGAAGGGGACCCATAGTTAGATTTCTAACATGCTTTTTAGTCTTTAATAATATAGCATCACTACAACTTACTCCTACATTCCTAAGTAAGTTTTTCAAATTACTCTCACACTGCACATTTGTCATAGACTGATTTAAAACAGATTTATATTGAACGGTTAATCATTTCAATGGTCAAAGTAGTTTAGTTCCCAGGTAGGCCACCTGCCTTCATATGAGGCCAGGATATATTCTTTGCATCTTTTTTAAAAAATAAAGAGGCCGATCAAAAGTTAGACAGGCAGCTAACAAAATTATGGAATGGGATATTGGTGTAAGTTTGCTTGGCTTTTTAAGAACATAGAGTCAGATACAATTCACAGCAGTATTAGCTCAGTAGATTATTATTTTTAACTTTAACCTTAGTTTCTTTGACAAGGAGCTTCTCATTTGCCTTTTGACATACCGAACTGAACAGTTTTTCAATTGTACTTCTTGGGGTTTAAGTGCTTTATGTAAAATTGTCTCCGGCCAAGTGGAGCAACCAAGAACACTACCGCACTATCACCATCATGCCACTCTCCCGTGTGAAGCAGTACTAGTACATTGTTTTTGGAAACATTTGTTGATCTAAGATAAAGATTGGTTTCTTTCATAGAAGACTCTGCTACTGCTGCTTCTACACACTCAAAAGCTAAATGATAGCCAATCTGTCAGAAAGAAAAATGATAAATTTTCCTTTCCCTAGCCTCAAATTATTAGGTGCTATGTTTTTTTCAGATGGTTCCATTCCATTCTCCTGTCCCAAATGACACCAGGGCCTGCCAGTTCTAGATTGTCCTCTTGAAATGTAGATAAGTGAACAATGTTGATGAGTCTTTCACATTGGCTAGATGGAGAAGAGAAAGCAAGAGTTGACTAACCAAAGGGCCTTTATGCCATTGTGAATTTAATCGCCATAATTTGACTTAAGATAATATATTTTTAAAAGAGAATAATTCACTATGATACTTTTATATTGCTGATAATTGGCTTGCTTGGTTATTGGGTTTGTGAGGTTTTTATATATATGTATGTTTATATTAGTTTTGGTAAGAAGAGTGAATCAAAACAATTTCTGTCTTGAATGAAAGATGATAAACTTGGAACATCAATTTTTGCAAACTTGGTTTCATCTTTATTAATTTTCCATCTTTCTATAATGTTTTAACCTACAATTACTACAATAAAGCTCATATATAAATATATATCTTTCTACATCCAGCAACCACTATTAGCCAGACTTCATAAAAAGTATTGTCACACTAGTGTTATTTTCAAAATAAATAACATTTTTCTTAATGATGCATATACAATTTGTATTATTTGTCTTTCCTTTTCCATTGGGTTGTATTGGTTCTATTCACTGGAAGAAATAGGATAAGGTAGAGTTTGCTTGTTGTATTGCATAATCTAGAGCAGAACAGACAATTGACAAAAATGCAATGCATTGTCCAATTTTCCTAAAACTTCTTTTGTAGGTCAAAGGATGGGGAGTACAATGCAATTAATTGTTCTCATGGAAGTTGGCTGGTTATTGGCATTTAAAGCCTTGATCCCGCAAAGTAAGTAAGCCTTTCAATAGCATTTTGAATTCTAGAATCAAGCGTTTGAGGAGATCAGGAGGGATTGGAAAATCAATTTCTTCACTTCAGTCTATTCATTATTATAGATATCTTAAAGTGGGAATCCTTTCTCAATTCACATTATTCATAGGCACAGTCTTATACAACAACTTACTCCTTCCAAACTGAAATCTCTTTCATCTAAAAAAACCCAAGATTTAATTAAAAAAATCTTTCCAAAGCAATAGCTAACAAAGCCAGAAAAGAACTAGTTGAATTCTATGAGAAAATAATCCGAGTCTGCAGCATCGATTTATAGAAAATAGTGACTTTGTTTGTTTCACTATTCTAGTCCTCTTTGAATTAAACACTGACTTATGCAGATTTGTTCTTAGAATTAAATCAGAGAAATATTTCAAAGATCCTTTGAACAGTTCAATACATTGTTTAATGCTGATTCTCATGTTACTCCAGAATGAATGATTCACATGAAAATGGATCAAAGCAAGGAGTTTATAGCTGCTATTGTCAGATAAAATTCTGATGAAGCAGTCTACAAAGCGTTGATCATTATCTCTGCATGTTCATCTTTATAATATTTTAAATTATAGTGACATATATTTCCTTCCTGATTTGATAATATGTTTAACAATTCTAAATAAGGGAAGTTGAGATTAAATACGGATTTGGGAGATTTGGACCAAGATGGAAAAGTACAGAAAATAACCAAGCCAGCATATTTTGTTCACGTTTTCAAGTGAGAATCATACCAATAATTGATTCTATATGCATTTACTCAGACCTTTTTGTATTCTACTTCTTGAAAGTTTTCATACAAAATTTCAATCACCTAAATTATCGAATAATCTAGATTAGCATTGCATGAAGCCATCTTCTACTTAGTATATTTTCCTTCCTTTTTAAAAAAAAAAAATCCTCTTGAATACTGCTTTTTTTCCTCTGATTGTCTAACTTAGAAATTTATACAGTTCCACTTTTTCAGAATTTTGTCACAAGATTTCCTCAGAGATAGTTTAATAAGTGAAAAAGGAAAAAAAATCAGCAAAAGGTCAATCACGTTCAAAGGGCCAAAAGTAGAAATAAAATATAGAATAAGCTGTCAAGCCCTCTCGGGCTCGACACATGAAGAGGGGGGAACCAGCACAAAGTCAAGGCTTACCGTCTTGGTTGTGTGACGAACGAAGGAAGCGCATGCGCAGAAGAATATTGAATCGTCAAGCAGCTGTTTGGCGGCTATCTGACACTCAGCTGACGGGAGGAAGCCAAAGATTACAGAACATTGCAGGAGGACTTTAGGGCGTTCACAGAGAAAAGACAGACGGAAGAGATGTAACCGCTAAGTGGGGGAGAGTGCTGGTTGGGTGGTAGTAGGGCGAGGTCTAGGAGGGTGGATGGGTGGGGTTGGAAATCACTAGGTGAGGTTGTAAGTAGTGGATAATTAAGATGCACTTTCTTAGTGCATGCCAAGTTTTATTGATAGTAGATTAGACAAGGGAAATAAATATTAGGTGCGCCTTTTGTCTATGTGAAATGGCACTACTGTTCCTTTCCAGAATATTTAAGTATGTTTAAAATCAGTAGAAAAATTCAAGCAACATTTTACACAAAGCTACTAACATGACCCAAATGTGAGATCTTACAGAGCATGTATGAACTTAATGATGGTACTAATGCAGTGAAATATCAGTGCTGTTTTCTGGGATCCTCCAGACAGGTAAAAGTGAACCTCCTTACACCTTTGAAATCTTTAATTGAAGTCACAATAATTAAGCAATGAGCATGATTTGTACATTAGAATCAAACCATTGCACATTGCCTACATCAGTCCAGATGGAGTCAGGGAAGTGTTTAGCTTTCTCTAGGGCAGGAGAATAGGTTGACTTGTCTGTCATTTGTCTAGGGGAAACACTTGAAATTTCAGAGCCAACCTAGAATACAAGTCAGAATAATTTCAGAAAAGAATTGGAGGGTAAAAATGGTAGTATCTCACACATATTTCCACAAATTTCTTCATCCAAGCAGTATGGAATGTATTGCCCTGAAGATTTGGTTTTGCCAGCAAGAGTGGGGAACCCAGAGTAGGAGAGAGAGCCTATCAAATGGCTCATCTGACTATGTGTTGTCAACCAGGGGGAGCAGGGAGCTATTTTTAAAAAATATTTTTATATTGTGTTTTTACTGCTTCTAAACTGCCTAGAGTGATTATGAGCAACTAGGCGGCCATATAAATTTCCCAAATAAATATGTAAATAAAAATGTGGCTTATATCCTATTAGCCATTGCCTAGCACAATACTTAAAAGATGGGGGACAAATGCAAAATTGGGGGCAAATGAAACATTTGTGTGGAAAGCATTTTAGTCAAGTCAACTGATACAGGCACTCTCACAAAGGGAACTCACACTTAGTTCTCCTGAGCTAGGTTTTTGCATTAAGCACTACTCCAGTCTTAATTTTTTGGGGTTGAAAAAGTAGATATTTTTTCTTACAGGATCTGACAGAGGCTGAACAAGGAATACATTTTTTCTTTCTTATAGTCTTCCCCTAAATGCTAATGGAGTTGAAAGACAAAAGGAAACTGATTAAGGTACCAATATATATTAGACTTTCATTAAGTCACATTTTTAATCAGCAAAGTACTATTTTTATGCTGTAAACTTTTCAAATGTTTTTAAAGGAGTTTTAAAATTAAAGGAGATTCTTTTAAAAACTGTTCCTTCTGATCTTTCTTGCTCATTTTAGGAATTGTGGATTAATATTTCTCAGTTTTTTCTGCGCATAATACTGCTGGCAGAAAAATAGTTAATATGCTTAGTGTAATCTCAGGGCACAGAGAAAGCTTGGTTGTGGCACTAGGAGGATTGAGAGGCAGATATAGCTGGAAGATAAGCTAAAGGACTTGGTGGGAGAAGGAGACAATGGGTAGCTCTAGTTTCTGAGCGGATAACAGATCATGGGGATGAATGAAAGGTAAGTCTGGAACCCCATCAATAGATTTATTTGTAATACCTTCACATTAATGGTGCATTTAAATTGTTTTCTCTCCCCCCACCAATATGTGCATTTCAGTTTTCACAATTCTCCAGCTAACATGACCAGCAGGTCCACACCTTGAAAGTCTCCAGGGTGGCGCAGGTTGAACTAGCTAGTGTCCAGTATAAACAATCTAATATGAGCAAATCTAACAAAATCAAGCCTCCACATTTAACTGCCATCCACTAATACTGAACTCCAGAGCTGTTTCCCACATGAGCTTAAGGATTCCCCCCCACACACACACACCCAAGGTGGAGTAGCCTTTCAAAAGCTCTTGAGCTGTTGTTGCCAATCTTGGATGCAAAAAACCTCACTGCTGAGATAGAGAAATTGCTTTTTTATCAGGGGAGACCTGATTCACATGGGAAGTATGAGAAGGAAGCCCTGGATGAGAATCTGGCTCACTCAAATAAATGTTTCCAAAGTGGTGAGTCCTGGCAGTTCTGAAAAGCCATTCAACATAGATTAAAAACAGCCAGGTGACTCAAAGAGATCCTTTCATGAAGCCTCCTCAACTCCTCTGCAAGAGAAAGGGAAGAATGGAGCCGGATGCCTTGGAAGCCTCCCAGAACATTGTGTGATGATTCCCAGAATAAAGTCACATTTCACAATGATGTTTATATTTAATATTTATTCTTTATGCTATTTTATAATAAAAGTATTGCATTTTTTAAAAAAGGGAAGTATGAGCTGTTGCAGACAAGATGGGCCATTTTTGTCCATCAATAAATAGTCAGAGCTGAGTCAATAAGAAGAAAAAAAATTACACCCTTGCCTACCAAAAAAACAAGGCATGCTTTTAAACAGCTCCTGCAGTGGTTGTTTTTTAGCAAGAAAGGAATCAATTTTACCCACATGTAGGGTTATTATACTTCAACCTTCAAATATCGCCTCTGAAGAGATTTGTTTATGTAATACACCATGCAAAACAGTTCCTGAATCGGTTACAGCTCTTTGGATTTTCCCCATTAGAGCCAGTCTTGAAACAGTTTTTTGAAATTCAGCATTGATATGCCCTTATTTGTGCTATAAAAGCACAAAGCTTCTGCCAGCTACACATTTATATATGAAATAACAAGTCCTTATGACCAAATCAGTGCATGCTAGAAATACAGAGGGCTTCAGATCCAAGCAAAAGGGAGTTTTGAAGCATGGAAGACCACAACTGTAGTCTCAGAGAGGGGCCATACATGCATCCCGACATATTCTAAAACACCTATTTTGCCATTAAATTCAAAATGCTGTACTGTTCTCTCTCCTAGCAAAAAATATTCTGACTAAAAAGCCAACAGTGGGCCATAATCCCCCACAAACCCCCCTCAGACTCAAGCTTGGGGTGGTTTTCAGCACCTGTGGATGGCAGGACTGTGCAACTACGGAGAAGGCCATGGAATTTTAAGGGCCACTCTCCACAAGCCCTTTGGGGGGAAGGGAGGTTTCACAGATTGGAAGATGGATTTTTTAACCCATCTAAAATTTTAATAATCTCTTTTGTCCCTAAAGCAACACTCAAAATGAAAAAAAAAAAGAGTCCCACTTTGGGACAGTATACTGACAATACAAAAGAGATGTTGACAGCTTAGCATGAAAGTAAGATGAGAAGCAGTGGTGTAACCTGGCTGCACTTTAGTTGAGTATTTTGCAGCAGCAATAAATAGCAATAAATAAAACTATATTGACGTTGTCAACTCTCCCGTTTCAGCTGACTGGGGAGAAAGGGTCAGGAGGCATCTGGAATGCTCTGATCCTATCCCACCATACATTCAAGAGAGCACTTCATTTCTCTGCTGGTAGATGATGCTGGCTGGGGAAGGGAAGAGAAGCAAGGATTCTGCCAATTGCTGCCCTGAAACTATTTGTGTGTGCTGGCAAACTACTTTCACTAGCTCTGTTGCCAACGTGTGGTTAGCATAAGGCTGTGGGGTCCAGTGTTTTTTTATCCCAACATTATTTCTTCCCATCTCAAGGAGAAAAGGAAAACAAACTGCAAACAAGACAAAGAGCCATGCAAATGGGAAGCTATGAGAGATTCCTATGGCTGCTCTTGCTTTATCTCAAAGTGCCCAAGGTTGGAGACCCAACATGGAATTATTCTCATATCAGCATAAGAAGGAAGCATGCCATTTTGATCTCTTACTGGAGAGATTTGGAACAGGAGGAGCCATTGACTAGCAACCACTTATTGGCTAATGGTTTTCCCTGTTCCGCTATTGGCCTGGAATGGTATTGGAAGTATGACTTCTATAGCACTAACTCTTCAGTACCTTACAACCTGCAAGTATTGTAGAGTGTGGATAGAGAGGATTTAACTTTATGACCCCTCACTGTCTGTCACAGTCTACTATGTCTTAAAGAGATTGCTAATCTGAGGCTACTTTCTTCTGTCCTTGTTCCCAGGAACACATGCTCTTGCTCTCTGGACTTTCCTCCTGGAAGGAGATGTTTTATGGAGTACTTGGTGCTCTTTGAGCTTGGTTATTTCCTTGCAGTTGTTTCATTACCCAACTTGGTAATGATAATCTGTGCTAGTGAGCTTCAGGTTTTGTTCACTGTTTATATACAGTAGCTTGCCTGCAGTGCTGGCGAAGGGGTTCACATCAAATATCTTTTTATTGGGGTCTTTAACCAGCTTTTAGAATAAAAGTATAATAAAAGAAGAAATAGTTTAGTAGACCAATTAGTTGTTAAGGAAGGGCAAAAATAACAGGACAATAAAGCAGTGTATCTAATTAAAAATTGTGTGGAAGTTGTGTAAGTTGGAAAAAATATTTGGCCACCAAGTATGCAAGTATAGATTTAGTGTCCCTTAAAAAAATAATAAAATGTATTTGCATGACCCTCGTATTCGGAAATGATTGAACCAATCAGAGCATATTCTGAGGTATCACAGAAAGGGCACCGTATGAGTGATAGTTTACCTTCCTAGAACTACAAGGGCAAAGTCTCTGAATAAAGGGTCCTATGAAATCCTCCCTCCAGTAGAGCTGATGGGAGGGCATCAAATGAGGCTTAGAAAAGGTCCATCTATATTTGCTTAAGGTTAAGTTGTGAAAGTAAGCCACAATAGAAGGCAAAATTCTGCCATGCAGGTGCGGTGCCAATGAGATTGGTTAATTGTCTTGACAGCAACAGAGGATCAAACATGATTCTAAAATCTGAGATTAGGATCCTGATCCAGGCCTGAGCCTTAATACTTTGCACATTAGCTTCAAGCCTCACTACTGCATTTTGGCGTACCAAACAAAGCACTGAGAAAATTTGATTGGATGTCTTCAGGTTTGTGTATGAGCCAAGTTGTATCCTATATAATAATTGCTTTGTTGGGCTCTGCCTCTCCCTATCATATTTCCTTGTATATAAAAACCTGCTCCACTTCATCAATGCACTAACAAACCTTCTCCTTCCAACAAAACCTTGCACTGTAGCTGTCAGTTCTTTGTCTAAAAGCAAATGTTCATAGTCAAAACGTCTGACAGTCTCATAGATCTGGCCATAGTCAGATCAGCCAGGTCCACCCCAGAGGACCTTACGTTGTGGAAGGAGAGGCATTGTCACAGAAAAAATGCCCACCAGGAAATGGTAAGAATAAAGTCTTTCTTGAAACAAGAGGTTCAGGGGGTTATTCTGCAGTACCTGGCAAATATATTCTTCCAGGCATTTTAGATTTTGCGTTTGAACAAATTAGATTTTTACAACAATGTTGATGTTCAGTGCCTACTAGGTATTAGAACAAGTGATCTGATTTGAGGTTTATTTATTGCACCAATTTATGTAGCATAAATAAACAAACAATTCTGGGCAGCATATAACAGAGCTAAAATAGTTAATACACTAAAAAAATTAAAATATATAAAACTTAAAAGAATAATGGACAAATGGATAATAATACAACCACCTCACAAATCCAATCATGCCCTGGAGTCCCCAGGCTTGCTGGAACAACCACTTTTTAAGAAACGGTTGGAAACTCAAGAGTGGCAAGACTAACTTCACCTCAGGAGGGGAGAAGATTCTACAGTGTGGATGCCACAGCAGAAAAGGCCGGCCATGTATGGGTCTCTAGGCGACAGAACTCATAACATGCCTTCTCTGCGGGATCTGATAGGATAGACAAATGAAATCAGGAAGAAGTGGTCTCTCAAATAACCAAGTCCTATGCCATAAGGGGCTTTAAATGTTAACACCAGCACTTTTAACTGGATCTGGAAACAAACTGGTAACAAATGCAATTCATGAAGCAGAAGCATGATGTGTTTTCTACCAGAAACACACATAACTGCTCACACAGCTGTATTTTATACCTGAAGTTTTTGAGTATTCTTCAAGGATAGCCTTAGAGTGTGATTTCACCCTTTTCCATGTTTCTCCTTTTCACATCTTCTATTAGGTAGCTACTTTTAGAATTCAGTCGGAGGACTTTTATCATTATGAAGATTAAAAATTCAACAAGGAGAGTCAGTTTGGCATAGTGGTTAAGGCATCATCCAGGACCATGTGTTCTAATCACACCTTAGGCACAAAGCCAGCTGGGTGACTTTGACCCGGTCACTTTCTCTCTGCCCTAGGAAGGAGGGTATGGGCAACCTTCTGAAAAATCTTGTCAAGAAAACTGCAGGGACTTGTCCCGATAGTTGCCAGGAGCTAACATTGACTTAAATGTGTACAAAGATGTGACCTACTAATGTCTATCTCACCTCTTCTGCAATAAGCATCTTTGGACAGAAAAACTTGATCTGCCATTGAGAAATAGTTTCCTTTTTCTTTGCAGTTGATTTAATTTGTTCCTTTAAGTGAGTCAGTTCTCCTTAATTTGTTCCTGGAAAAATAAATAGGGAAATCAAAATTATTTTCAAAACCCCCCTCAATTTTGGAAAGTTGGTAAAAGTTGATAAATAGTAAACCTGGCTCAAAACTGTACACTAAAATCTCCACTGGTAATTCACATAAAATGTCTTTTTTCTCATATTTCATTCAATGATAACTTATCAACTCTCTGTGTGCCAACTTCTCTCCCTGGGCTCCTGGATCTCACCATGGGCTGGTAGTATAGTTCTGGGGGACTTTAACCTGCAACCCCTGGGGGTGGAGTAAGAGGTAGACTGGGATTTCATGGAAACCATGACTTGCATGGCCCTGATCCAAGTCATCCAGGGTCTGACTAGGAATAGTGGTCACACACTGGATTTGGTGTTCTTGTTGGAGCAATGCCTTTGTGACCTGGAATTGGTGGACCTGTCTTTTGTACCCGTTATGGTCAGATCACAGTTTGGTGACAATGAATTTTGAGAGATATATATCCCTGTAGGGAGGCAGGACCTATTAAATTGGTCTACCCTTGGCAACGAATGGATCCAGATAGGTCCCAGAAGGAACTGGGGATTATCGTTACAGATCTGCTACACAGTCCCATTAACCTCTTAGTCACTGTTTAGAAAAGGAAGGTGACTAGGTTCTAGATAGGATTGCTCCCATGTGACCTCTCCTAACCCACAGACCTCTGTCTTCTGCGATATATGGAGGAAATTGAGAAGAATAAAAAGGATGAAGAGACATCTAGAGCAGGATAGTGCAAGACAAGGGACGAATTCAATCAAACATGGGTAAAAGCTGCTATTAAGGCAGAGGTGATTTGGGCAGGGAAGTTGTTCTTGCACTAACCAAGTCTGCAGATAACTGACCCTCCTTAAGGTGAGCCACCTCCTCCTGAAGGAGGATACAGAGGTCACCTAAATGAGCTTGTTGAGGAATTTGCTGATTTTCTGGAAGAAAAAATCATTCAGCTTCATTCCCAGTTAGATGCCAGCATTGTTGCTGGTCCAATGGAAGCACCTGGGGCAGGTCCTTGCCTTATTATTTGGGAATGATTTGACCCTGTTGTTCCCAAGGAAGTTAACAGGTTCCTAGGGAATATGAGTGCAAGCACCTATTTTAGATCCCATGCCCTTTCTGGATTGTGAAAACTTCCTGGGAGATGACATGCGGGTGGGTTCTGGTAATTAATGCTTCCCTGCAGGATTGGGTAGTACATTTTAGGAGGCTGTGGTCCAACCTCTTCCTAAGAAGCCATTGCTGGATTCCACCCTGTTGGATAATTTGACCTGTCTCCAATCTTCCATTTTTGGGGAAGGTTGTTGAGAAGGTAGTTGTGTGGCAGCTCCAGTGGTTTCTGGATAAAATGGATTATCTAGACTAGAGCCTTAGCAGACCTGGATATGGGATGGAAACTGCATGGGTCACACTTTTTGATGATCTCTAACAGGATCTGCATGGGAGTAGGGTATCCATCCTTATTCTACTTGACTTCTCAATGGCCTTCGATACCATCAACCATGGTATCCTTCTGGAGGGGCTTCAGGATTTGGGGGGGGGGCTCTGTGTTGTCTGGGTCTACTTCCTTCCACTGTGGCCATTCAGGAAGCGAGAGGTACAGCCCATATCTGCTTTGCAGGATCCCGCAGGGCATGGTACTCTCTCCACTTCTGTTTAATATTTACATGAAGCCACTGGGAGAGCTCAGCCATCACCATGGATGAGATATCATCAATATGCTAATGATACTCAGCTGTATGTCTTGACCCATGGCCAGTTAAGCAATGCCATGACCTCCCTCTTGCAGTGCTTAGAGTCTTAAGGGTTTGATGGGGAGCAATGGGCTGAAACTTAAGTAGCTCTGGATTTAAGGTCCTTTGATCCAGGGATAATTGCCATCTTTGGTCTTGGATAGGGTAGCATTCCCCCAAACCAACCCAGTGCATAATCTGTGGGTTCTCATGGATTCACAATTCCTGCTTGAGGAACAGGTGGAAGTCATGGCCAGGAAGGCCTTTGCACAACTACAGGCTGTGCACCAGTTTCATCCTTTCCTGGACCAACAATCCCTATTCATTGTCAGACTCTAGTTACCTCTCCGTCTTTGATTATTGCAACACGCTCTACATGATGCTTTTCAAGAGTAGCCCCAAGAAGCTCCAGTTGCTTCAAAATGCTGCAGCCCACATGGTTATGTGCAGACCCAGGTGTGCACATGTGTCACCTCTCCTGTAGGAGATGCATTGATTGCCAATTTGCTTCCAGGTGAAATTCAAGGGGCTGGTTTCACCTTTAAAGCCCTTTATGGCTCGGGACTGTCTGGGTTATCTGAGGGACCATCCCTTCCCAGCTACATCCACCCAACTCACTAGAGCAGGGAGGCAAGGAATGTTGCGGGTCCCATCCCCTAAGGAGGTACATCAGGTAGGACCAAAAAGGGCCTTCTCCATGATAGCTCTTTCCCATTGGAATATCATCCCTGCAGAAATTATACTGGATCCCAACTTTCACACTCTTTTGTAAGACTCCCATATTTGACTTCAAGCTAATTTTTCTCATGTTGAATTTCAGCAACTGTACATACAGATGAGCAAGAAGCTCTTATGTCTGAGCTGAAAATCATGAGCCATTTGGGTCACCATGAGAATATTGTCAATCTTCTAGGAGCATGTACCCATGGAAGTAATTATTCTTCTCAGCATTTCCTTTCTGGTTCACAGAAATTTGTTTCCTTTCTTTCCTATCATTGGTTGAATCATAGGTTTCCAAGTGAAGATGACATACAGTATAACATGCCAGAAACTGAAACTGAACTCAGCTTGAAAAATCCTTTATTTTTATGTAGAGCTGTTCAGAACTGTCTGAGTTGAATGAGTAAGAGACTAAAAAATAATTTCACCTTCTCATCTTGAAGTTACTAAGGTTGAGAAATCCTGGTCTGCTGGATCCTATTCTAAATAAAAGGTAGAAGTAGATGACCCACAGGTCATTCTAACTATATGATTCTTTCAGTGGACAGCACACTTCACTGATCAATGTTGTTGTGTAGCAGAAAAATGATTGTACTTTCAAGTGATGTTTCTTTTCTGTTTTATAGACCCTATCCTTGTAATTACTGAGTTCTGTCCATTTGGGGACTTGCTGAATTTCCTGAGAGAAAAAGCTGAGCATCTCATAATCGAGGGTCTAAACTTGGAATCCACTCTTGATAGCATGATGGCCGATTACAAAAACATCTACCTTGGAAAAAAGTATGTCCAAAGAAGTTAAAAAGTCAGTCATCAGTGACCTCCACTTATATGGGACTTGGTTCTGCCACAATGGGCCTGGGGAATCCAGAGTGGGATGGAGCCCATCAAGTGACTCATTTGCGTGTTGTTGCCAGGGGTTGAGGTATTTTGTATACTGTGGTTTTACTGTTTGTAAGTTGCCCAGGTTGCTGTGGGTGAAAGGGCGGCCATATAAATTTTCCAAATAAATTCATTTTGTTTCATGAGACATTTAAGTAAAATCCAAGTGGCACAAATTCTTCTGAGCATCCCTTTTACCACTGTGCACTATGCCAAGATTTTACCTCAAGATCTACCTTATTTCTCTGCTTCATTTATTGTCAAATGTCTATTTCCAGAAAAATAACTCATTTTGTGCAAAGGATTGGAGAAGGTGGTAGGTTATTTTGCATAGACTCATAGAGAAAACAAATTTGCTGGACTCCCATTTGGTTCCAAATTTAAACATCAGTACAGGACAGAAATAGTATTGAGTATGTTACGCAATTTTCATTCCCTGGATTGTGCCCTTCATGGCCCTAGACCTCTCAGCAAATATTGATTTCCTTCTGATTGCCTGGAAGATTTGGGCTTAGAAACAGTGTATGATGGTGCCTCTGCTGTTTCTTAAGTGGGCAGTTCCATTCCAGGGGTTTGGGGTAGTAACAGGGAAAGAGTGGTTTCTCAATGTCCTTTTCCATATGCTATTTAACATCTACATGATGCTGCTGGGGAGTGAAGTATGCTGATGATACCCAGAATGTTTCACCATTCTATTTTTAATAGGAAATATTTATGTTTTATTGCCTGGAGGTCATAAAGTCTTGGATGGGTCAAAACAAGTTCCAATTAAAATCTCTGCAGGAAGTTTGTGTGACAACAGATCTGCTTGAATCATACACTGTTTCTAAGCTTTGGCTTTGGATGGAACAACATTTGCCCTAAAGGAGGAGATCTGCAATTTGATGTCTTCCTAAGATTTTCATCTTCTAGAACATGATAATCATAGTCAAGTGTCTTTCCCCATCTCTGGCTAGTATACCAATTATGGACCTTTTGGGATTGAAATGAAGCAGTAGAAAAGTCAATCACTAATTCACTAAGTCTGTCCATGCAATAATCCAGTAGATTAATATTGCTAGATATACTGTAAATGTAAACTGTACTTTGGCATTCATATTGGATCTCAGAAAACCTCTAGGACACACTTAGATGTACAGTCACTCCCTCCAATGCACCATGAATGAAAAGGGGGAAATGGAAATCTGAGTGTCTCAGCTCCATGAATTTGGTTCTATTCATTGGAATCCTTAATGTAAAAAGAGGTACATTTTCTCAGGCACGTTTATTCCTTGCTCCATATGGAAGAGATAGAAAGATGAATTGATCTAGTATACAGCAGATTTGTGGAAGAAACAGCCAGGCTTGACCCAGCTCCTACTTTATTCTTTTTAGCTTGATGGATATTGAATATGTTTCATACTTCAGCAACTGAGAACATCAGTTCATGTCAAATCATATTTATCAAAATTGTGTGCCTAATAACAAACAATATAATCAATTATTATTAGATCTCAAAGACCAAAAGTCATATTAAAATTTATGGCCCAGGCATTGTTAAACCCATGCTTCCCAATCTTTTCCTTCAGGCAGGCCACAGCATCATTAAACATTTTGGAGGTTCACCAGAGATGCCACAGTTGGTATCACAATGATTATGGGTGGTGTAACACCCAGGAGTTTCTTAGGTGATGTCAAGAAAGGAGCCAAAAACAAATCAGATTTTTTTCCAAACAAAGTCTTGGGAGATCATAAAATTGTATAATCTTTTGTAAGAATTCCTTATAAAATTGGAGGAAGAGTTCCTAAATCTCACAATTTTTTCAAGCAGGAAAAGTAAGAGCGACTGCAAACATACCACATTGGCATGTGCAAAATATACCAATGTCATTCCGGGCCAAAGTCCACCTTTAGCCATTAAAGTTCTCTAGGTGACTAGTGACTTTCCACTTAATCTTCCTGACAGGGTGATAATGGTAAGGGAGAATAGTTGTGGAGCGCTCCAAAGCTGTTGTATAGTAACAGCCATTATTTCCAGAATCATCTGTTCATGAACCACAGCAACATTTGGTTAAATATGTGACAAAATTCAGATGATACAATATATATATATAGATATACATGTATTTGAGTTATATACTGACATTCATTTTTGGACAAATATCCACAATTAAATGTGTGTGTGTGTGTGTGTGTGTGTGTGTGTGTGTGTGTGTGTGCGCGCGCGCGCGCGCGCACGTGCGCGTGTGTAATTTTCTTAGCAGATTAAGTGGCTACATACAGAACTGCAAGTCCCTTGCCTTCTTGAAACTATTAGTATTTCCACCTCTCAGCTGTTTGGAAGGGCCAAAGAGAGGCTTGGCTTTAAAGAATGATTCCCCATAACTTGTAAAAACTTGGCTGAGCATATGTATCATAAATTAAAAAAAACCAAGGTCACTATAAACCAACATCATCTACTTCCCATTTTCAACTGCTGATAATGCTGAAAAATTGACCCAGGAAGGTGAAGTATGTTATTACCCTATGTTTTCATGCCCTTTGTTCCCCATCTTAGCCTTTACTCTCACTAGCAAAAACCTGCAGTTTGCCATAAATCATCTGTGATCCTAGAGCAGCCTATATTATCATAGCTCAACCTTCCCACAAACTGCGCATTTCATCTTATCATATAAGGTAAGATTGACCTCAACCCTCATTACCCATGAAAGTTAAAAGAGCTGCAATCCAATTGTCTTGAGCTGTCAGAGAATTCTTAGTCAATAGGAAGTAGCCATCCCTGTTCACCACAAAGTTAGTCTGACAGAATAGAATAACAAAGTAGGAAGGTAACTTGGAGGGCTTCTAGTCCAACCCCTGCTCAAGCAGGAGACCCAAAAGAAAAAAAGTGAAGGTTTAACGGGGTCAATACTATAATTGATGATATTGGAGGAAGCTTAGCCACTCCCAATCTTTGTTATTAAATAACATCTGGTTTCATTGTGGTTCAAGCTTTTGTACAGGCCAAGCGTCTCATGTTTTACCCAACCCATAAAAATGGAGGAAACTACAAAATAGAATTCATAGAATTTATCTGCAATGGAAGCAGGACATTCTTTTGTCCTATTTGGACAATTTGGCTGATATTAGAGGTTTGTCCATATGTATGTTGGAGCAGCTGCTTGCATAGTAGAGATCTCTACCATTCCCAATGATAATTCCTGCTTACTATCTAACTGTCCCATTTGGGAAATTTTCATCTCTCTTCACTGGATGCAACTCATCCAATTCCAGTTGGTCCCAGTCCTGATGCCTTTTCCACATGGGTCAACTTCAAACTTGCTACTCATTTCTCTTTTGGTTTCACTGTGATTCAAGTAGTGTTTTTGCACAGACACAGCTTGCACACCCTGAACTCCTCATGTCTGTTATAACCAAAACTTTCCACTCAAATTCCACCTTTTCTTCTGTGCCCTGGGCACCCTCAGCTCCTTTTGTCTAGCTGGCCAAGTATTGAGACAGGTGGCATTTAATTTCAAATAAAAGCTCAGAGTTGTCATTTCCCTCTATTTTGCTTCCAGAACTGGTTACCAAAATATACCTTATATCAGTGTATCAGCAAATAAGCCACCATGTGTTATACACCTTGCTGCAAATTAACCTCTGTCCTTTTAATAATGTAATCATTCCTAGGGTTTTCTCAGATTCCCAGGAGGAAGGGGAGGGTAGATTCACCCACATTCATTGAAAAATGATGTAATCACACTAAAAATACCTGAAAATATAAAGTTAAGGTATGATTTTGTGGGGAATCACTATTCTGCATATTTGGGACCTTATTTCAGGCAGTATTCTCCACTTTTAGCATTGACCATTTGTTCCTAAATAACTAAGCAAGTTTAATGAATATGTTCCAAATTGTAGTCTTAATGTTGTCCATGTGCCATTGATTTGCCCAGGCAGTAAAAACATCCAAAGACAACACTAAAATATTAACCTTTTGGGGGGAGAAGGGACAGATAGTCATAGAAAATTTATTGAGGCACGGTGGTATATGTATTTATACAGACTATTTGTACCCCATGATAATCAAAATGCTCCTTAGTAGTTTGCAATCCTCATTTCATAATCTACTTTTGCTGCTTTCCATCCTTCTATTCTTTCCTAGGAAGTTGAAAAAGGAAAAAAAAAGTACAAAAAAGTTATGGAACTCTTTTTGTTGTCATGTTTTCTATCTCGTGAGGGTTACTGAAGCAGTATGACTTGATTTTACCACAGCATTTAAAAAATATATTTTTCATATACAATATATCATTTCATTTGTGCCTTTCTAGATCTCTCCTCTAAATTAGGCTTGTCTAGAGTTGAAAAGCTGCACTTGCCAGCTCTGGGAGCTCTGGTCTCAGCCTTCACCTTGCCAAACTTTCACCCGCATTGTGCAGCCATGTCCAGTTATACGATAGATCACATGCATCAGAGCCCAATGTAGATTTAACCTCAGCATTCCATCACTCCAATAAACATCAACTATATTCATTTGTGTGCACAGTCATGAAAATTTCAGATCTCTTGAACATGTATGGTTGCACCAGGACAACTAGATACAATTGTACATGCCCCCTCCCCACGTTGCAGATTGTCACTAGGTGAATGCCTGAAAAGGAGGTGCCTTTCACAAATTATCTTTTCCTATTGCAAATGCAAACCAGTACTGTTGGAACGTGATTGAATCGGTCTTTTAAATGGGGCCTCCTTGAGCTGTACCTCCTCTCTCCTCCCTTCTATTGAATGTTCATGACACACTCTTGTTCTTTTTTTGGAGCTAGAAAATTTCCTAACTTGTGGTCTTTTCAGAAAACGAGAAGTGTCTTCTTCTCCAACAGGCATCAGACACAAAAAAATGCACAACTGAAGGATTAGCAGCCTTCATTGCCTCATTCTTCGTTTTCCACTAAGAAAGATTCCCTGGACCAGGACACTGGCATTATTCTCCTATAGCACAGCACAACTGATTTGTGCTGGATGGATACCTTCATTCCAGAGCAAATGGCCCCTCTTTTGGTTCTGATAGCAACAGCTATCTGTCAAGGTAAGTCTTCTTGTTCATTCCATTCATACATCAGTAAACTGGAACAGCTGGGAAGAATATCAACTTTTCTAGCTATAACCAACCAAACATGATGGATTACAACTCTCTTCAGCCCCAACCTTAAGGCCACTTGTCATAAGGCCATTTGCCATGTTTGTTGTTGTGATTGAAGTTGCAATCCAATATCTCTGGAAGGTTCCAAATAAGGAAAGTAGGGTTTAAAAAGCTTTAATAGTAGTGCTTTTTTATATGCACTGCAAAAGGATAAGAATCATAACCAGGTTTTTAAAATTTCTGTCGAAGGAATTTCTGTTGCTTTTTATTGGTATGATTGCCAGTTGGATACATCCAATGTTGCATTAATGCCTATAGTTTTAAAACTCTGATCATTTTCTTCACTCTTCACTCTTTTTTGAATAAATTTACACTTGAATATTCAAGAAACTAGTATTGTTAACTTTGTTTACACAAGCCCATTTTGAAAAAAAAATAAGATCTGGGATTGGATATTTGTGTTTTGTTTTGTAATTGATTATTCGAATAGGATACTAATCAATTAAAGAAGCTGAAGCAGTTCAGTTAGGACAGATGATTTTCTGCTCAGAAAATAAGTCGTATATTATTCCATTTGTAAGTGAAGAAAGTTCTCCAAAAAAATTCTAATTTTAATTTTTAGTTTATAATTGATTTTTAAGTGTACATCTGTCTTGTATAGCACCTTCAGCATCTAAATGCAAATTTGATCAAAATATTTTAAAGGATAAAATTAGAAACACTTTATATGACCATGGAAAGCATGGAATGGCTTTTTTTTTTTTTAGTCTGTGTTAAAAGCTTTTCTCAAGCTTTGGAGTGAGAAACTAACTTGTACTATGATTGTCAGTCTGCTTTGTGGTAAATATTTTAACTAAAAGGAAGGGGGGAGTGAATTTTCATCAAGAATTTAGCATATTTATGCATGGATTATTCATTAACCAATTACAATACAATTAAGCTACCCTAATAAATTGGCAGCATTAAAAGTTTACAGCCACAATGGGGTTAAACTGGAAAAATTCACACTGTACAAAAAGTTGATTGTAGTTCTTTTAGTTTCTAAAAGTCAAGAGGAAGAAGTCTCATGCTCAGGCTTGGTGGAAGAAAAAAAACTACATGCTTCAAAACTAGAAACCGAAGGTCACTATTATGCAATACAACAATGTGGTAAAGTGTCCAGTGATTACTGAAAATATGAGGGAAGTAAGCCATAATCCATCTTAGCAATGTTCTGAAATTCCATGCAAAACTTCATTTGTCTCAGCATTAGACTTGGCAAGAAAGAGTCTTCCATACTTTGAAGAAACTAAAAACTGGTTTTGTATCAATAGGGTTACGTAGTAACACCATAACTAAAAACTAATAGTATAATTGAATATAAGAGTAGTTGGGTTTGTATAATAGAGACGATTGTTGCACATTTCCCTATGTTCCCACTGATTTTTACAAACCTCATGCTTTAGTATCAAGTACTTAAATTTAAAATTTGCCAATTCTACTGCCCTTTGACCTATTTCTGACTGTTCTTGCACTCAAAAACTCACTTTGAAGCTGCTCTACCACTTTTACTTTGCTCCTTTCATCTGGCCTCAACCATTTCCTGCTTAAGTCTTCCAATCTTGCCCACAATTCACGAATCCCTTCATGTTTGTCAAATGTATAGCTCCTAAAATTTAGTCTATAGTGTAGGGAATGATACCATGCCTATATAGGGTTATCTCTTGAATATGGAAGTAGTCCATTATTTCTCTTGGTAGAAGACTACTACAAACTCAGTGTCTTTCCAGTTAAACATGGAGTATTCTGATCACCCATTCATCCTCAGGAATTTACAAGAGATAGCAACTCTTTCAAATATGATAAAATAGGCTTCTGTTTTATCAAGGTGGATTTTATTTGTATCCTGCATTTTTACAAAAAAACCTCCAGGTGGTGAACATATCCAACATACCTTCCTCCTACTTTCTCCACAACAACTATCAAGTGAAGTGAGTGGACTGAGAGTGACTGGCTCAAGGTCACCCAGCTGGGTTTTACACATTGGTTGATGCACTCTGAAGTCCATCAGTCCCTTCAACTCACCTCTTGTTTCATTCACTCTTTTCCCATCTTAGCTTATCTTTACTCTCTGCCTTCCTCCAAAGCTGGTTCTTTCTCTTTAATTAGCAGCAGCATTTCCTTTTGCTGTTGTTTTAATATCAGTGATATTGGCTTACGTATTTGAGCCTAGCTTCATTTCTGGCTGGTCTATATTTGTTTTAACTACAGGCAAAGGGTGGGTACCCTAAGTCTACCAAGGTAGTAGTCTTTTCTAAGGGAGACTCCACCCCTTCTACCTCTGTGTGGTGTAGATTCTGGTAAGAAATCTGGTTTCTAAAGCCAGGATGTTGATCATTCCCTGCAAAGTCTGACTTCTGTGAGGATCAAACTCTTTTCCTTTTGTATCTAGGGTTTTTTTTTTTCATGGAATGTTTAATGAACTCTTGAGTTTAAGCCATCTCCATTTGTGTGGTTGCCTATGTTGGCTCTTCCACTTTTTTACAGATATCCCACCCTGCTTCCCCCCTTTTGTCATGGATTCTTTTCAGTGTACCCATTTTGGTGGGCTCCAAATAAGCCATCAACAACACAGCTCCAACACACACAAGCATTCATAGGCTATTATGCACTACTCACCCCTACTCCACTCTTTCCCACTTCTACTCCTACAACTCCAACTACTATTCCTTCTGCAAACTACTACTCCTACTTCTGAGTACTGCTAAGGAAAATTACATCTCTCTGGCTGCTTTAATTCCACAGGTAGAGATACTTATTCCCTCTCCCCCACATACTACCACTCTGAGCTGGCTCTCAGCACAGCTTTTATAATCAAGGTTGCCGCCCTGGCTGAGGAGAGGGCTTAAAGAGACAAGAGCAGCACAGGTGCAGCCTGTTTCCTCAGACCTGTAAGAAGAAGATGAAAACTCAGAAGCCAATTGCCCAATTCCAAGTAAGAAAGAGATGGAACTTCCTTCATGCTTAGTTCTGTTGAACAGATGAAACACATTCCATCTCTGATGCTTTAATTTCCCCCATATTTTACACATTTCCCAAAGGACACTTTGGTAGCAAGCAAGCTTTAAAAGGCAACAAGAGGGTTGATAAATGGGCTTTAAAAAAAAGTCTAAACATTTTGTTCCTCTACTCAGTGTTATAACCCTAAATTTCTGAGCTTTGTCCTTTTAATACCAGAGATAGGAAAGGTGAACCATGGTTTATTGTGTGCCTTCTTTTGAAACGGATTGTGCAGAGACCTTCTTTTCAATGGGAATATCTGAACATTTACTTCAGTGTAAGTAAGAGTCATGGAACTAAATATTGGGAAGGCAGCCCAGTTCAGATCTCATAGCCCATCTTTCCTTCCTCTTCAGATAAGCTCTACTTAATTTCTTTTATGGATACTACTATTGATAAAACTATGATGAAAATACATTTGATGGACAGATGGGTGGGGAAAGCTGAAGGATGGAAAAGGATATGTTGATCCCATATCAGCCTACATGCTAGCAGGAGAAATTCAAAGACAGCATCAAAACTATCCTGCGGCGTAATTGATAGCAGCTGCCCACCCACCTATTTTTTAAATTATTTTTTATCTTCCCATCTTACTTAACCGTCATAACCTAACTCCACATTTTTGGACATGATGAAATGATACTGCTTTGTAGCAATCTCCTGTTGCCATTCAGTTGATTTGAGCAGGAATAAAAAGCCAGTAGGAAACTTCCCTCAAGCCCTGGAGGCAAAAATTCCTACCAATCTACAACTGCTACTGAATTTGCTAGAGGGATTGTCACCAAAAAGTTAGCGCGTGTACCTCTATAACCCTGATCTCTGAATCAACAATAGTTTTCTAGTAAGCGTTACTTCAGAATGACTACACAAACTGAATTGATGGATGGATGGGAAATGTTAGGTAGCATTTTCTGCAACCTATTCCTCCACTTATAAGAATCTGATATTTCATAGTAAGCAACTTCAGTGCTGATAAAAGATTACACATGAATGTACACAAACACACACACACCCAAATACAAAAACAAACCTGTTCATATTTGACTTCATATTTGTTATTTGATATTTGTTAAATCACATATCCTCACCTACACCAAATTTCTGGGTCTACATGAAGTGGTTCTATATGTTACACTAATACTCATTAACATAAATGTCGGTGTCCCCTTCTGCTATAACTCTTTTAAAATCATGTTTTATTAGATTTTCTTTAAATCTGAAAGCTTATTTTCTTATTACCCTATTGCTGTCCAAAGATGTTCTTAATCCATTAATAACCCTTCCAAATATAGCAAATACGACCAGATTTTTTTATCTGTTCTTGATCTCTGCTCCGCTTTATCTACTATACATGACAGCCCTACAAGTTAATCTGTTGTATTCTAAGTCTCAGTCCTGATCTAAATATTTGGTGGGTTTCAAAATTAATCTTTATCTAGATTGTTCAACTCTTTATCAAAGAGTCAACCTAAATTCAGTTTGTTCCGGGCTGGTCTGAAAACTCAAGAAGTCTTTGGAAGCTTAAGAAATGGAGAACAAATTTACCAAAATAAATGATTCTTATAGATGATAAAATTAGCCATTGGGAACTGTTCTGTTCCATTTCAGTTTACCAAGATGACCAGTAGGTCTTTTTGAACAATCCATGGAATCTTCTGTACAAAATGAATTAAGTGCTCCTTGGCAAAATAAATATGCAAAGAAATAAGACTTGAAATAGCGGAATGTCTAGGTACCGTTTAGAGTTCTGATTATTCCTTGTAAAATTTTATATAATGGATTTGCCTTTGTGCTTCTTTCAACTTTCAAGATGCTCCTGGGTTATTAAACATTGAGTAACACTAAATGTTTTGTGCCACGATTAATTTATAAATTTAGGGTCAACAATCTATACTAGTTTTGGTTTC